CTAATCCAATTCGGGGCGGGTTCAGGATTAAGGCTTTAAACCCCTCCCAGGTAATGGAGAGATTCGAACACATGCTCTCACCCCACCCCCACCTGCTTATAATTCTTTGGTTTTGATTGTTTTTCTTATAATTCTTATTGTATCCTTGGGAGAAGATGAGGTAAACAAAATTTACCAGGATATTCGAGAAAAAGAGAGAGTTTAATTTGTGTTTGCAATATAATTTACCGTGGCCTATTTGTGCAAAATTAAGAATAGATTAGAAAAATAAATGACAAAGTTTGTTGTTTCACCTAGCAAAAGGTGCCAAGGAATTCTTTGCGATGCAAATAAAAAGTAAGGAAACTGGTTTTGCAGAAGCAAGTCCAAAGCGAATTTTGCAGCAGATGCGTGTGAAAGGACTGAGGATCGCTCAAATCAAAAGCCATCTTCAGGTATATATAGCTCACCCACGTGGTCCAATACATATATATACCAAATTCAATTGTTCAGTTTCTTTTCTTTTAAAAGTGATATCGTGGTTGGGGATTCTATAAGACTCCGAGATTAATGTGGAAAACTTTCCTAATTAATATGATGTATGTATTGTCCTAGTGACTAGATTAATTCTCCTCTCTTAGTCCTTAACATTAATTGAAACAATAAATGCAATAGTTGAACCGTGTAAGGATATACTTCATGGGTATGCGCTCAAAAATATCTAAAAGATAGATATTCGATTGACTTATAGCCAATACTTCAATCACTGCGCATTATCAATCGGCATGTAGCCAAGATGTGGGTGTGTGCACATTGTTGACAATAATAGTAAATAGGTCAAAAATATGTACCTGGATCTTTAACCTCTTATTTATAAGGATTACCTTAATATGTTTGGGCCTTTGAAATCTCCTAGTTGATATAAAATCTGCCTTGATTAATGGGAATAAGGATCTTATCCCTTGATCCTCTCTACATTATATAGATGTGATTTTTCTATCCAATTTTGCTAGAAATAGGATTGTTAGGATATAGATCCAATACATGAGAAGACGTAATACATTTGGACTTGGGCAGTTACGTCAATTATTGCTGAAAACAAAACAAGAGAGCAGATAGAACCTTCTTTTGGAAATTAAGGCCATAATTGATGGAAAACATGACAAGTCACTTGCATTATATATATTATTACGCTGTTTATAAATATGCTTGCGTTGATCACCAATTCACCATCAGAAGTTCAAAACCATCAAGTTCCTCTTCTCTTATTTTTCATTGCGCGTGTATATATTACACTGATTTATTGTTATTATCTTCCTTTTGAAAAAAGATTACTTTGTTAATTGCAGTTTTAAAATGTGTTTAATTTCATGCACGTGCAACATATGTCTAAATAGTAATACGAACCTTATACAACTATCTAGGTTAGGTACCTATGCAGCATATGCTTTACGAAAAGGAAAGTAGTTTTCCTTTCCTTTCCGTCTTTCTTCCGTAATTAGCAGAAACAATTTAGTTTCATCGTGTAACAATCTGAGCAGCCAAATATACAGCTGTCTAATTCTCTCTCATCTTCCCAACAAACGCACAATAATGTAATCCAATATTTAAGTCATACTTAGCTACCTAAAGACATATATTAATCAAGAAGTTGCCCTATCAAAAACTCGGTACTTAGCTTATTGCAAGATCATTTTACACCCTAGAAATTATACCCTGATTATTGTTTGTTGAGATATATAGTCCCACATTGGTTGTATGTGCAACTAATGTGAAGTTTATAAGGCCTTGGGCACTCCCACCCTTTGAGCTAGCTTTTGGGGTGGTGATCTCAAGGTTCTTAACATGATATCACATAATTTTATGTTATTTTAAATGAAATGACATCGTTTTGGTACATATTTGGAGTTTTTTTTTACATTTTCTCTCATCTACTTTCTCTCTCTTCCTAATTTTATAGAAGTGAGAATGTAAAAAATCTCTAAATATGCATCAAATCGACATTATTTCATCTAAAATAATACAAAATTATATCCTTTAAAATGACAAATATTTTTCTCTATTTAATTTATTATTTATGTGAATCATATATATATATATATGTGTGTGTGTGTAATTTTTTTTTATCTTCTATTTATTTTTTAACAACTATAATTTATGATCAAGTTTTTCTAGATCTAAGAGAAATCCAGGGTTTTGTTAGATGTACAGAAACATGAAAGGGCATGCCATTCTCCCACCGGTGGATCAGTTGTTGGAAGGAAATGCAAACGATCTCAAAATCCGCTCCCTTTGTTCAACCGAAAGGTAACCCATGCATAACCGATCTCTAAAAGGAAAATTGCGTGTTTTTTTTTTCTTCTTTTTTATCTGATTTGGTGTCATTTAATATTTTGAGTATTAACATAATTAATGATAGTTTTCAGCCCACAAAAAAAAAAAAAATGTCATTTGAATATTTTATATGGCTTCGATTAACTAACTTAATTGAGTACAACATTTTACTATTATCACTTTATTAACCAATTATTTTATCTCATTTTGATGCTTAACTTTTTTCATATCTTTTATATACCCATCAGATCGATGGGAACTACTTTAAGAGTATCAAAATATGAAAACAGGATTATCAAGCGGGAACTTCATCTGTTAGACAATAAAAAGGGACTTTCACAAACCAGTGAACAAACAGATTATGATCTAAACCAGGTATTATCTGTCTCCCCAATTTGTTTAGAAACTTTTCATGTCTAGCTAGATAATTAACTAAGTAATCGAATGCAATGGGAGACTAATTTATGTGTTTTTTTAGATGTTTTTTTTCAGTTTATTTCGATGTTAAATGAAAGAAGTAAGATCAAATTGAAAAATGTTTTATAGAAAATGTTTCATAATCGAATTACTGTGTTCTTGATTAAAAAATGATATTTAATTCGATATTTGAAATTCAATGGTTTCAATTCTCACGATTATATCCACACACAAAAAAATCAATGTTTTATTAAAACAAAGGGACAAAGTCAATGCTCATGTAGCATGTTCAATTCATCTTTTAGGATATAGATATTTTTTATTGTGGTACCTTGCAGGAGCCCGAGTCAAGTGCACGCTTGCTTAGTGAAGATGTGTCAAATGAAGAAGATAATTGTAGGATAATTGAATTTCCTGGTCTCTCATTCTCTTTTAGCACGCCTATAATTTCGATGATGAAGAGTGACAGTGTCCAAGAGATCATGCGTTTTTCGTCATCAGTTGCAGCTAGTAATCATTCCGTTGATTCTAGTTCTATTCCTTCTGGAAATAATTATGTAAACCTAGACCTAACAATCTGAATGTGGATAATTTTTATTAAATTGCAGTTAATTTTACTGATAAAGACTAATAATAGTTAGTTAATTATTCTATTCTTTACAATATTAGATTATTAAGGTTGTTGGCCTTAGAATTTTTTATTTTATTTCTAATAATGATACAAAAGTTTGAACATGAAACTTTTTATAAGAAGAGGGATTAGTTTATACATTTTATTAATTATTGAATCTAGGAATTCTATTTTTTTTTATAAAAAAATCATTAATGCAAGTAGAATCAACGATTAATAAAGGGTATAAAAATTTCTATACGGGTATAAATTTATCTATCACGGGGACTTAATTTGGGACTATCTTCCCACATGTACTCCATTATATATAAACTTTGTACAAACACACTAATGTAATTGAATTCTGTTGGAAATATTCAAGTGTGAGTAGTGATAAAGTCTCACATATGTTAAAAATGAACCAAGCGAGAGGCATATAAGTGTAAAAGATTCATATAACCTTAAGATTTTGGGTTAATTCTATAAAAAAAAAGATTTTGAATTAAGATGTGGTATCACTTCATTTATTGTGGTCTATCATTTGACTCATTGGGGGAATAATCTTTTGTAAAGGGTTTGAGGTTCCCTCTTACCATTCTTAATATTTTTGGAAATATTCAAGTGTAAGAATAGTGATTAAATTTCACATTGATTAAAAATGAATCAAATGAGGACAATATAAATGGAAAGAACTACAACTTTAAAGTTTTGAATTCAGATGTAATATGAGCTCATTTTTGTTGACCTTCTAAAAGAATCCATGAAGTTAATGCCCATAGTTTTAGGTTAACAGATAGTGTTGGATTGTACCACACCACAGCCCACTGATGATAGTCTTCCCATCATATTCTCCTCAAACTCCCTAGTCTCTTCTCAACATAAATCTGATATCCCCATTGATGGATGCATACATACGTATGGAGCTCGATATCTGTATTGGAAATCAGTTGAAGACCCTTGAGGATTTAGTTTCACGGAGAAGTGGCCTTTTCCCATGCCACCTAGAGTCTCGTTCTGGTGCAATATGACTCAGCTTGATATCCATCAAGCCATACAATCCGAAAACTCAATTACCTGAATCATCACTAATAAGACCTCCCATACCAGCTGGGTTGGTATTGCCAACTGAACTTTCGTCAGTACCAAATTTAGAGAACCAGTTGAACGGCGAAGTCATTGCACAACAAAGACCAGAACATCGTCTAATGACACTTCAAAAACTTTGGAGCTTGGAGCTCATCTTTTACAAACCATGCCCATTAGACATCAACTGAATGCTTTTAGCGAAAATCAAATTTCTGGCTCTCCAAAGCCAACACGTGCAGGAAAAAATGGTGTACTGATACTATGAATTGCATAATTGTACTTATCTAGTGAATCAATGTAAAATTGTTTAACAACTATAGTTACTTTATAACATGATTGGACGCTTAAATTTGCTTAAATCAGGTGTATAAATACCAAAAGCCACTTCTTTAGCATGAAATCAAAATTCATTTTATTGATCCAAAGAAAAAAGAGAAAGTACGTCTTCCTATTCCTGAACCCTAATTGTGCTACGGAGAAAGAGATATCCATCAGGGCATACTACACTTTCTAACTTCCATAATTAATGTTGCATTTCCTCTGTAAACGAATGGAATGAAATGCATTGCCTTTAACGAAATATAAATTAAATTGAACTAATAAATGTACATGAATAGGAATATAAAAAAGCAGAACTAACATATTTATACAGTATAAGTTCAGATCCACAAGGGATCCAAACACGTTCAGTGGTTTCTGTTCTGTTACACCTTTCGGTACACGTCATTTATGTTTTTATCCAGTGGGAGAGAATGCAGAAGACAAGGTGAGCTGGATATAAACAGTGTAACCTATAATTCATTTTCCTCAAAATTTTCACTAAGCATAATTTTTACTGCCTCTTCGCCAAAGTCTTCATCATCCCTTTGATAATCTTTGAAAACCAAACCAAGTTCATAACTGATAGCACCACTGGCACAACAATAACTAGTATTTGCCCAAAGGTGTGCATTTGTTGAACCTGTTGAATAATTGAGCAATGACATGATATCCTAAGCTTTACCAAGTTTAATTTGCTTGACCAGAAATTAGAAAGAAATGAACAATTATCCAATTCCCAAACAAGACTAGTATTTATCACAATTACAAACATGTTAAAAAAATAGATATAACATTTGACTTTGAGTGACAGGTAGTAACCCTAACAAATGTTTTATGGTGAGAGTGAGAGGAGAAAATCTTTAACTATCAATCATCCATGGATGGTCAAGATCAAAGCATAAAGTTATCTAACCTTTAACTAATTTCTAATCTTGACTATGTATGTAAGATCCAACCATCATGACAACATTTCGCTCAGCAAACAAAGGTGTCAACAAATCCAAATTCAGGAACAAGCTCTACCAATTCAGCATTATTACGTATGGAATGTATGTACAAGTGTAAATGGACACAATACAATACCACACTAAATGACCCTCGCACCCAAAAACCCACCCTCTCCCCCACATGAAAAGCACAAATTACACTTTTAGAACATCATATAAATAGATGTTCATAAAGTGAGTTTGTAGACAACAAATAAATCCAAGTTCTACGTCAGTCATCACCCAATACAATATGTAGCCATATTAAGAGGCCAAAAAACTCAATATCAAAAGGTCTGCTTGTGATAAAGCACCACAACCAGACAATTCTTAAATTCAGTGTGTCAGTAGTTATTACCTGATCGAAGTGCAAGTAGACATGGTAAAACATATAAACGAACAAAAGTATTCTGGCCACCTGCAGATAGATCATTTCGGTTAGCATGTCCAAGAAGTCAAGAATAATAGGATAAATAAGATTGACATAAATATATTTCAAACTGCAATGACTTCACCCACCAACCAAGCGATGAATATTACAACCCCATTGATGAGATAAGCTTTTGACCTTTTCATTCCAGCAACATCGAGATACCTTCACAAACACAGTATGCACATTAGAAAATAAAAAAAATTACATGACATATTAGAGGTCAAATATAAGTGGAAGATTACCATCTCAAATTGATCCCTGGAGTTGTTGTCTCAGAGATCAGGATCATGTACGTGTATAGCTGTCCCTCCCCACTCAACATTGAATAGGCTACTGCTACTAAAGAAAACAGATGATGAATCACCTGAATCAATGTTAATATGAAGTCACATTAAATCCCAACCCACAACCAAAAGAGGGAGAAAAATGAAGGAAACCACTCTGGACATAATCATCTCCAGCTGGGTTCCTATCAAGTGAAATATCTTAAAATTGAATGAGTACAGCTAAATAAGACAAGATGGTTTAAACTACGTAGGCCAAACGATAAGATCCTTACATACTCATATCCACCGAGAGAAGGAAAAAACCACAATATCATCCCAAGGTCAGCAATGAAGTAACCAACAGAAACCTGTCACATTAAAATAAAAATAAAAATATAAGCAATACAGACTACATAAAAAAAACATTTCCCGTTAAACCCCACTAGTGAGTGTGGGGTAAAAGTACATGACTAGATAAAAAGAAAAATGGGTTGCAGGTCATAATATGAGATATATACATAAAAGTACGATTTATTATTTTTATTTTTATTTTTTTACCAATGGAGATGTATCAGGAAAATGAAGGAAATATAATATGATTTAAAAGCACTCCTAGCAACATATAGAAAGAATTACTACAAAGTAAATTTTAGCAGAAGATATGATGTGGACAGTAAGAAAATGAGAAAAGAGATGTGGTTAATAAATTCTGTCAATATCATTCGTTAACATGCTCTGAATACACACACACACACACACACAGAGCTATTACCTTTCTTGCTCAGTAATTAGTGTTCTCATCAAAGTCCATATCTTCGTATAATTTTTTTTTCAGTAGTTCTCCGTGACAAATAAACTTAAAATCAATATTTAAGCATCATTATTTATCCTTAAAATCATGCATAAGATAAAAATATGATATACATCAAATTATATTTGACATTGCTTTTACGAAGAAACACCACTATAATTAAGAAATGATGATAACCTTTCAGTCAAAGTCATTCAATCTAGAATCCAACCATTAAGCCAATTGCATTAATCACACATTCTGGATCAAAATATGGTTCATGTTTGAGTCATCTGTGTATTTTACCCATTAAACGGAATAAGTTACTCTAGGAAGCATACAGGTTTGAAAAGCCTTTGCAACTTGCGTTAAAGTTCAAAAGGTGAACAATGTAGAACATATGGGATTACCCTGTTTTTCTTTCTTTAGAAAAACTTTCAGCCAAAATAGAAATTTTGAAAACCAAAGCAGCAAATTACATGCAGCTGGAGGCAAATAGCACTCTTCATCACCAGTATCCTGTAGATTAAGTTTCGTGTGTTTGGATACTTGATCATTATACAAAAAAAGAGTCTAGCTTCTTCTTCAATGCTGGATTCCATCACCACTTGATGCACTACAAAAGACTATCCTCTACTGCATGTATGTTAACATTATCTTCTTGCATGTCATATATACTTATGCATAAAGGTTTTCTCAAAATATTATTTTGCTTTTACCCTGGCACCCCACATTTTCCTATAGTCCAACTTGCTTTCATAAAAAGGCATGGGTGTCCTCCCAATTTAACTTCCAGCATGCCTAGTGATTCACAGTGATTTTACAATATCTCCATCATAAAAATGTCAAGACATGAAACGCCCCCCAAAAATCTCTTAAAATATGTCTTAACTAAGCATATCATCTCAACTTTTGAAACTCCACTACACCATGACATTCATGATAATATCGGAAAAATATCAATGTCAAAAAGTTAGTGACCAAGATGATGCTAATAATATCTAACCCTGCTTGGCATAGAGTCATATACAATTAGTATTCAAATGAACTCCATCTCCTCATTCTATTAGGTTGGTGAACTTGATTTACTGAAATGCCCTCCAAAATGAGATAATATGTGATTTTTGTTTATCATAAATTTCACTTGCAGAGATGAATCACAAAGACGATAACAAAAGGCAAACAAATTGCAAAAGCCCAGATCATGCTTACCCCCAGAACAAACATAGACAACGAAGAGCTTTGAACTGTAATAAGTCTAACTGACTGGTCATCAGAATATAGATTTGAGCAAAACACCAAGTACAATGACATAGATGTTATGAAAATGGCATGAATAGTTGACATGGCACTGCACAGAGAATAAAAAATCCATAAACATATTATCTCATCAGAAAGAAGAGAAGAGATTTTCTATGGAAAATACCACTCACCGGTTATTCCACTCAGTACGTTGGATTTTAGTGAGGCTGGAATAGCTCTTAAAGTAAACAGTGCTAAAAAGCTGAGTAAGATCATAAACCTGAAAACCAGAAATATTTAGAGATAAATACGAGATAAAAATAATAAATGACAGTAACCTTAAAATCTCTTAGGTGGAATACTTAAGAAAACAGAATGACAACATAATATAATACAACATACCATCTTGCAAGCAAAAATGCCACCAACAATGGAAGTATATGGAATCAAAGGGTCTGCTAACAAATATTCCTTCACAAACAAATTAGCCTGGTTCTGGTAAGATTTAAATTTCATAATTTCTTTAGAAGCCAACATTGCAACACTGCCCCTTTGATGAGAAGTCTCTTGAAGATTATATGTGCTTTCGAGCTTTTATCCAGTCACCTATTATATGAATATATTCAAGTTTCAAAACAAGATGATAAGAAAATAATAGCCAAAGATGAACCTCAACTAGGTTTGTCTTTAAAAACGACTTATGTGTTAAGGACAACAAAAACTATCACAGAAGTTGCGTGAATTGAGGGAAAGGGAATTAGCAAATTAAGTATTGTGTGCCAAAGAGGCAAGGATACTAAGTAATTAATTACAACTTTCATATGAACAAAGCAAGAATATTCATAGAAGGAAGGAAGAAAGGCAGGGAATTTGGAGAATAAGGCATCCTCCTCGAACCAAAATAATTAAATAAAAGTGTGCTAATCTCTCTTGTTGAAAGCAATCTTATCCCAAATAAAATCTAAAAAGATAAGAATCTCCCACAGAAAATCCAAACCTTCTGCACCAAAAAGTTGATTCGCATACAAATTACAAACCTCTGAAATTAATCAACAAGACAAGAAATGCTTCATGTCCTGTGTACGTGCCCCAGGTTTCACCCAAAACTCCAAAAAAATGTGTTATAATTTGCAAATATTGCTGCCCAGCAATGTTAATAACAACTAACAATATTATGGCAGATTCACCAACCAAACCAACAGAAGTGAAATGAAATCATCAATATCAGGAGGAAATCAATTATTCATCCGCCTAGGGTAGGAGACAAAGGATACACTAGTAATGTACGTCAGACCTGAATATTGGTAATAAACGGTTTATTCATTAATATCAAGCCTAAATATCTATATATCGCCAAAACTGAGAAACAAGTTACTACTCTGAATATCAGTAACTACCAAAATTAATGTAAACCTGATAATTCAAAAAAAGAGAGGACTAACTAGTAATTGTTGTACTTCTCCACATAGAAGAATCATTTGAGTAAGTTCAACGAAAACAAAATATCCTCTCTCTCTCTCTGTCTCTCTCATCTCATTGAACGTCAGATTAAAATCTCTTCACAAACTCATTAAATAAATAAATCGTTTCAGGTTTGGCAGCACTAAGAGTAGGAAGGAACAAAGGATCATACCAAATCGCAGTGTATATGTCTGGATTTGGCGAGTTACCGAAACGAAAGCAAGGGAGGAAATGCGATCGCGCGGTGTATCGTTGAGTATATGGATTTTCAATGGAAATTTGAAGGTTTAGGTCACGTGCAGTGGTGGTTGAAGAAATGGAAGGGAAAATTGAAAACCCTAATACAGTGGATTGGATTGGATTGGGATTTGGAAGAGGTGAAGCTGAGGATGAATTGAAGATGACAGATAGCGAGCAATATAGTTGGCACCCGCGTCTTTTGTACTGATTCCAAATTCTTCTACTATTTTTTCTTTTTGGAAAATGATAATACTTTGAACAAAATAAAAATAAAAATGATAATACTCAATATTCAATCATTTGCAACAATCCTTTCAATTCCTATAGCTCCTTTTGAGTGATAAATTTCATTTTAACTCTCAAAATTTGCTATATTAGACTTCAATCCTCGCTTTTACTTGGATAAAAAAATTTAATTGATTCAAATTGTGATCAAATGATATAGAAAGAAACAGGTAAAATAAAGGGAAAAAATAGACCTAATATCTTATAAAAAAACAATTATTTCACAACTTCTGACAATCCGATCATTGTGTATTGGAGGGTTGGTTTTGACTTTTGAATTCATATGTGATTATATTTTGTCAAAATTTTAAAATTTAGTTCTTACATTTTTTATTCAGAGATGCCCATTGATTTTCAAAAAAATCAAATAACTACATGAAAAATATTTGTTGTTTTAAAAAATATAATGTTATATCATTTTAAGTGAAAGGATATATTCATTCATTTTTTATATTTTCTTTCCTTTGAATTTCGTAGAGAAAAAAAATATATAAAAGAACAATAAATATATACTAACATTTAAAATGAACAAAATTATATTATTTACCTTCTTAGATTCAATGGTCATCTCCTCTAAGGTTGAAGAATTATTTAGAAAACCAAACATAAAATTTAATAATTGTAACTGCTTGGTTTTGGACTTTATTTGGTAAAATGCACAATTTTTTGCATTTATATTTAATTTAATTTCAATAAATTATTATTATTATTATTATTAGACTAGTATCCTAAATTAAGAAATTTTACTTTATACCACTAAATATATATCACAAAACATAGAGCATTCAAACTCTATTAACAATACTCCAACACATTGTAAAAAACTAACCACCAAACAACTAGTCAAATATAAACTAGTTATATTATATTATTATTTTACTAAAAGTGTGAAACTATTCCCGGGGGAAAAAAAAGGCTACTTGAAATTTGAAGCAATTATTTATATAAAAAGATTACTGACCGTTGTTCCAAGTGAAATATGCGTGACTGAAACTAAACTACAGTTTTGTTGCATTGGGCAAAGATTTGGCAACAAAGGGTTGAGTAACCGAGTGAAGAAAACAAAAGCTGACAAAAAGGGGAATCTGTTGTTGAAAGAGAAAGAGTGCTGTTAAGATACGGGATTTTCATGCTTCCAAGGTGACAATACGTTGCGCTTAAGCAATCACAGCTTCCTTATCACGTGAATCAAGGTGTGATTCTTAAGCCGAAACAACCATAGCAGAACAACCACAATTTCTATTTTATTTTTTATTTTTTTGGTCCCCAAAGTTTTATTTTTTATTTTATTTCCAGAAATTTGGTCACAACATTCTTCACAAAAATCTCAAGACCAACCCCACCTTCTGTAAACCTCAAATCTCTAGCAGTTCCGCATTGCTTTATTCATATTTACAAGGATTTGCAAGGGAAGGACCAATCATGTCTTCAAAGGATCAAATTCCATTTCTTAGCCACCTTAACAGTTCAAATTTTTTTGGAATGCCTGAAAGTTGAGACACTAGGTTGCTAGGAGAGAGATGGGAGTTTGAGGCACTCCAAGATTGTCCCTCAAAGTCTTTATTTTGGAAACAACTCAAATTTACTTTACAGTAATAAAAATAACATTAGTCATAACACTTGAGCTTCATGCTTTGCTTTTGGAAATATGTAAACAAATTGGAGACCAGTCCATTACTCAGTCTTTCTACAGGCAGTTTTATATTGTGTCTTGCATCAACACAAGTTTAGTATCAAGTCAAAGTTAGAAACACCAGCAAACTAGTATCCAAGTCATTTGTACATGACCGACATTAAATTATGATATTCTCTCCTATTTGGAACTTGGATGCACATAGCCTTAGATATCCCAAATAAATATATATAGAAGGATAGGCAAGAACAATTTCACATTTGCTATATAACAAAAAATCTAATACAGATGAAAATCTTATTAATAATTAATAATAAAGATAAAATTAACACAAGGTACATTATCCATAAAAAGTTTTAAACTAAAATATATTTTATTAATTATTTGATTACACCTCATTAGACATCACAGTAAGAACTAAGAAGATATAAGGTCAATTTTAAGTGGGGGCCATATGGCATGGTAAACTGTATAACATCATACCAGAAGTGCATTATTAAATGCTAACACAACTCCATGAAATTTGATTTGATGGAAATATACTTTGGTTATCAGTCCTCTCTGCATGCTCTAACGTGCACAAATATTATTCAAATATGTTTGAACAAATGTTTTCCATGATAAATAAGATACTTTAAAAGTAAAAAAGGCAGATATCAAGACATAATTCATCGGTCACTCTTCTCTCAAACCAAGACAACAAAACTGAAAATGACATGTAGGTGGTCTTACCGACTTGATAATCGAATTAGCATGCTATAAATCAATGACTTAAAATTGTCCTCCTCCAACCAAAAAGTGCTACTCAACTCTTCACACAATAAGTGAAAGCATAAAACCTCTTTTAAGTCCAACTTAGCAATGAAATTCTCTACAAGTATACAACCAAAGTAGTCAAAATTTGAAGTTAGAAAAATAGCCTGAAAAAAGCTTCAAAGACTATAGTACATCTTGATGATCAATCAAACCTCGATAAACATCCAGTAGGAGAGGCACATCTTCCAGAAATTTAGTCACAAACGTCTCCAAAAAAATTTCCTCGCTCTTGCACAAAAAGGAACTTAAACCTAAATGATTCTTTAGCAGACCTTTTGATTTCAAGATTTTAATTACTGCACATCTGGGGATAGTCCTATTCTTCAAGTTGTAGCCAAGAGCCGCAGGGAATTTAGCAATATCTTCTGAAGGCCAACCCATATCCTTCACCAAGAAATTCATTGATTTTGTAATCCTCTCCTCTGTACACGACATAAAAGTTGGATACTTTCTAAATACTAAAAGAGTGGTTTCGCGAGACCAACCCCACTTCTTGCAAGCCTCTAATTTTGATTCCCACTTTGCTCTGTCCAAATTGATAAGCACATGGATAGCATTGACAAAAATGATTTTCAAAGGATCAAGCCCCATTTCCTTGGCTAACTTGACAGCTTCGACAAATTTTAAATGTTGGTGAAATGCCGAATTCGGGTGAAACATCACCAAGTGAGAGATGGATTCTTGAGGCACACCAGACTCTCTCAAAGCAGTAATGTTTGGAACCAAATTATTCATCAAATCACCATGCATTAAAGAAAGTGCCCCGCGCTTCAAAGCTCTAACAACTTCCTCATCATTACGAACAACACTCCTGAGGACCTTATAACGAGGGATAACACACTTGTCCAAGCTCCTTGACAAGAGTGCATGGTTAAGACTGATGACTTTTGGGAATTCAGTAATTGAAACCCCAATAGAGTGGATGAACTTGAGTTTAGGCAAAAGGGTCCTCTCTGCATCAGCAAGAAGCACCATGGGTCGTGTCTGAACATATTTTGCAATCTGGGATTCGTAGAATCCGTAACACTTGAGAAGATCCAGGACTGCATTCGGTTTATCTAGGGTTTTCAATCGCACATTTTTGGAGACTCGCGCGGCGGTTTCTGGGGACAACCCACATGAGTTAATGAGGTAAGAGACCGTAAAGTTGTCATCTTTGAGTTGATTACTTTCTGATTCAGAAAAGCTAGGCGATGAAGTGAAGAAAAGGAAAGCATTTTGTCGAACAAGACTGAAATGGTAGCGGTACGGGATTGGGAAGAAAGAAGCAAACCTTGAAATGAGAAAATTGGGCATCATTTATCACTCACAGATTATGCAAGAGCAAGACCCAGCTTCAGCTTTCAGCCATTATCCACGCTCACTCCATGTTGCTGTTGCTGTTGCCACAGGGTTTGAATATTCGTTAATCAACAAACAGAGTATACACTAAACAGGATTTAGTTTTAATCATAACGGTAGGGTTACAGAGAGACAAATGCTTCCGGTAATCTAGCGCCTGGTCAAAAAATGATATTTGAATCCCTGATAATGCTCTTAATCACTAAGTAATAATAGAAGAAATATAATATAAATGTAATAAATGATGGGGAAATATTTGTCTTTTTAAATACATATAATTATATTATTTTAAGTGAGAGAATGATATAATTTAATATATTTTTTTAAATATAAATTTTTAAAAAAAACCACTAATTTTTTTTTCATAATTTTTTTACTTTGTTTCTCTCGATTAAAAGTACAAAGATAAATTTACCCCCCAAAAAAAGACAAAGACAAAGACAAAACAATAAACCCATGAATGATTTCGTTAAGTTATTTACAAAAAAAATTTAATTTTCCATGACCGATTCAATAACCATATGGAACGAAACGGGTAGGGGTTAATTCGATCCGATTTTATTAACATTCTTATTAGCTAAGAAACCTTTTTTGAAATAATAAAATTAAAAAAAGTTATCAACAATTTTTTTTTTTTTAAAAAAAACTTTTCAATATATGATTTGTTTTTATAATTGTGATATTTGTTATTACTTGCCGGTTACTAAATAAATTTAGTTATGTTATTTATTATTTATGTTAACACATTATATCATTTATTATTTACTCATATTTTTTATTTGTATTGCGTGTCAAGATATATTACTTAAGTAAATAATAATTTATCTATTCGTTAAACAAAATAGTATTTTAGTTTTCTTAGTGATGGAATTAGATATAATATTTAGTTCATGGTCTAATGAAATGTCTATTCATCTAAGACCCAGCGGATGAATCTATATTGAACTTGGAAGAAGTGTGTGTTGTAGTGCATATGAAATGGGGAATTCGACAGAATTCTGATCATTAAGTGAGAGGGTCTTCATAGGATTGTATCTGTGGCTAGCATGTTCCGCCTCAAATTATTGAGGATTCTCAGCAAGCGGGATTTTATGGAGTTGTCAACTTGATTTTTTTAAAGTTGACCATATGTTAATAATATTCCTAGTGGAGCGATAGAGACTCCGAAGTCCAAACACATTCGTTTTATTTGCCACCAAGAGAATGCACTGTCACACTTTAGGATGTTGCAATAAAATCGGGTCTCTCAGGTCTCTTAATAGACAAACACTAGCACTATCATACCTTAAACCTTAATGACGAATTTGTGGACCCAGCACTGTTGATGCCGACAACTATATTGCACGGCCTGAGATAAGGAAGACGGGTCGTGTCGTATATACTCATGAAGAGTGATATAACACGTAGATTTCCAACCTTTTTCTGGGTCCCCAAAGTTTTTATAAAATAAAATTTATTTAGTAACCTTGAATTATGAAATCATCATTCAATTTATGTGCTATAAATCAATGGCTCAAATCTCCAATCTCCCACTGAAAGCATATCAAAACTAGGAGACAGAAAGTCAATCATAGCAATGAAATGAAGTGAAAAGGTGGAAGTTAGAAACAACAGACTCCGAAAACCTTCATAGACATCTATATGGTCAGTCTGATATTGATATACTTACAGGACATGCCGAAACCTTTGAAGACTAACTAAAGCACAACCAGGGAAACTATCTGACCTTGATCTACATATGTCAAATTAAGCAACATTTATGAGAAATTTGTCCACAACATTCTTCAAAAATATAAAAAAAAAACCCACTAAAAACCACTCTCCGTTAAACCCGACTAGCGAGTATGGGGTGGAGGTAATCCTTGTACGCAGCCTTACCTTTGCATAATTGCAAAGAGACTGTTTCCTGGATTCGAACCCATGACCTTTCAGTCATGAAAGAACAGCTTTACCACTGCTCCGGTTCGCCCCCTTTTCTTCAAACTCAAGACCAACCCCACCTTTTCGTAAACCTCAAATCTGAAGCAGTTCCACTTTGCTTTAGTCATCTTTGCAACCACTTGCATGGCAAGGACCAAAAATGTCTTCAAAGGATCAATTCCCATTTCATAGCCACCTTAACAGGTTCAATAAATTTTGAAAGCCTTGAAAGTTGAGACAATAGGTTGCTGGGAGGGGGGTGGAAGGTTGAGGCACTCCAAGTACCTTAATCAATCTTTCGACAGACAGTTTTCTGCTGTGTCTTGCATCAACACAAGTTTAATATCAAGTCCTAGTAAGAAACACTAGGACACTAGTATCCAAGTCATTAGTACATAACCAGCATTAAATTACGATAATCAAAGTTTTCTCCTATTTGGAACTTGAGAACATATAGCCTTACATGTCCCCATTAAATATATATTTAAGGATAGGCAAGAACAATTTCACATTTACTATATAACAACAAATCCAATACACATTATATTCTTATTAATAATTAGTTATAAAGATAAAATTAACGCAAGGCACATTATCCAGAAATGGTTTAAAACTAAAATATACTTGTCATTAATTATTTGGTTAATACTTATTAGTCACGACAGTAAGAACTAAGAAGATATAGTGTCAATTTTAAGTTGTGACCATATGGTAAGGTAAATTACAGAACATTATTAAATGCCAATAGCCTAACACAACTCCATGAAATTTGGTTTGATGGAAATATACTATGGTTATCCAAGTATGTTTTTGAACAAATGTTTTTCCATGATTAATAAGATGCTTTCTTTAAGTAAAAAAGGCAGCGATCAAGACAAAATTCATCAGTCTTACCCTTGGCCTACAAAACAAAGGCACTCTTCTCTAAGTGCGTTTTGTGTCTATCAAAATAAAAAACTAAACCAAGACTAGAAAACTGAAAATATCATGTAAGTGGTCTTAACTACTTGATAACGGAATTAGCATGCTAGAAATCAATTACTCAAAAAAGTAGTCCTCCCACCAAAAAGTGCAACTCAACTCTTCACACAAAACGGGAAAGCATAAAAAACTCTTTTAAGTCTAACTTAGAAGTAAGAAAAATAGCCTGTAAAAACCTTCAAAGACTATAGTACATCTTGATGATCAATCAAACCTCGATATACATCCAGCAGGAGAGGCACATCATCCAGAAATTCAGTCACGAATGTCTTCAAAAAGTTTTCCTCGCTCACGGCCATAAAGGAAGCCAAGCCTAAGGAATTCCTTCGCAGACGTTTTGATTGCAAGATTTTAATTACAGCACATCTGGGGACAATCCTCTTCTCAAAGTTGTAGGCTAGAGCCGCAGGGAATCTAGCAATATCCTCCGGTGGCCAACCCATATCCTTCACCAGGAAATTCATTGATTTTGTAATCCTCTCCTCTGTATAGGACATAATAGTTGGATACTTTCTAAATACTGACAGAGTGATTTCGCGAGACCAACCCCACTTCTTGTAAACCTCTAATCTCGATTCCCACTGTGCATTGTCCAAACTGATTAGCACGCGGATAGCACTGACAAAAATTGTTTTCAGAGGATCAACTCCCATTTCCTTAGCTAACTTGACAGCTTCCACAAATTTTGAATGTTCCTTATACGCTGTAAATGGGTTAAACATCACCAAGTGAGAGATGGAAGCCTGAGGCACACCAGACTCTCTCAAAACACTAATGTTTGGAACCAAATCATTCATCAAATCTTTGTACCAAAGTGCCCTGCGCTTCAAAGCTCCAACAACTTCCTCATCACTACGAACAACACTCCTGAGGACCTTATAACGAGGAATAAGACACTTGTTCAAGCTCCTTGACAAGACTGTAGGATTATCAATGATGAATTCCGGGAAATCAATGTTTGAAACCCCAATAGAGCGGAAGAACTTGAATTTGGGCAAAAGGGTCTTCTCTGCGTTAACATTAAGCAGCGAGGGTATTTTCTGCACACATTTGGCAATCTGGTTTTTGGAGAATCCGAAGTTCTTGAGAAGATTCAGGACCGCATTTGACTTATCTAGGGTTTTCAATCGTACATTACTGGACACTCGTGCAGCGGTTTCGGGGGGCAACCCACATGAGGTGATGAGGTAAGAGACCGTAAAGTTGTCATATTTGAGCTGATTACGTTTTGGTTCAGAAAAGCTAGCCGGTGCCGTGAAGAAAAGGAAAGCATTTTGTCGAACGAGATTCAATTGGCTGCGGTTTGGGATTGGGAAGGAAGAAGCAAACCTAGAAATGAGAAAGTAGTGCATCATTTTTTTCATTTCCCAGTCACCGATTCTGCACGACTCAGCTTCAGCTTTCAGCCATTCTCCTTCTCCGCACTCCACAGTTCCACATTGCAGCAGAATCTGAATAATCGTGAATCAACCAAGAGCTTGCAGTAATTGTGATTTTCGTAAAGGGTAGGGTTTAGGGTTTCGGAGCACAGAGTACGAATTCCGCTAATCTAGCCTCGGCAAATAACCATGCTTGAATCCCAGTTCATGGTAAATCAAAAGTAGGGACCAATGCAGAAAATAAAGTTATCTTCGGACGAACATTAAACCTCGCAATATTCGAATAGAAGAGAAAGTAAATAAGTAATCAGTAACCGAGAAAAATACTTCTCCTGCTATTGCATAGTATTTTTTTATTTTTTTTGTTACACTTGCATAGTATTTCCCCTTTTTTTTTTTTTTTTTTTGATATCATAGTATTTCCCCTTTCTATTGGCTCAACAAAAAAACAAAAATTGTTTATTTTTTTTTAAAAAAAAATACATGGTGTGACCCCACATTTTTTCTCTTTGACTGCACCTTTACAAGTAAAACGATAAGGGTTAATAGTATAACTTTATATTATATCAACAACTAATATGACTTTATAAGAATTTTGGCACTATTATCTCTTGAGCTAGTTTTTGGGTGGTATATTTTAAGATTCTTGTCAAATGATTTAGAGCCTTTTACTATGTCTCCCAATTACAATCGAGTGGTGTGACACTGAAGCTGCGAAGCGTGATGGAATTTTAAATCCTATTTGCGAGGTATAGGACTTGGGATTTATAAGGACTTAAACACTCTCCTCCTTTGAGCTAGTCATCCCAAGATTCTTATCAGTTTCACCATAGAACTTGGGGTTTATAAGGACTTAAACACTCTCCTCCTTTGAGCTAGTCATCCCAAGATTCTTATCAGTTTCATTATAGAACTTGGGGTTTATAAGGACTTAAACACTCTGCTCCTTTAAGCTAGTCATTCCCAAGATTCTTATCAGTTTCACGATGGTGAGCAACTTCGACAGCGAGAAATGATATAGCTAAGCCAATGACATATAAAATTATTACACCTGTTACAATTATTTAAGTTTTTTTGTTTATAAAATTTATTGGAATACTGTTTCCAAAATAAATATATATTTATTTAAATAAAATTTGACTTACAAAAATAATATAATTAATTTTAATATTTTAATAAAAGATAATCAAATTATTATTATTATTTTTAAACATTATTATTAAGATTAAAGAATACAAAATTAACCTAAATAAGTCACAACTTATAGAAGATTATGCGAAAATTTAATTAATCTAATCCATTTAGTTCTACTTATATAGATGAACCCGAATAGACCGATTTGGTCCAAATTAACAACCTTATCTTTTTTGGGTATCAAAATTTTAGCTTTCATCATCTCTACAGTTAACTCATAACCTTTGATATATAGTAAGTCAATTTGCTATTAGTTTTTAAGGTATAGTAAATACGTCCATTGTAAGCCTCATTTTGATTTACAGTTCACTATTATTTTAACCAATTACTATATATTGGGTAATAAATCCGTTCTATGCATAAAATACTTAGCATATTCTTCCCATTACATTTTAAGACTTATATTGTATAAATAGCAAAGTATCGAAAAATATGTAATACATTTTAATATTTGATATAATAGTAGTCAAAAAATTCAAATTAATTGATGCTTCACTGCAATTTAACCATCTTAAAAATGTTAAGGATGGCATATCTGATTACTTTTTATGGTATAAACGGGCGTCCACTCAAAGCAGTGGACAGTGGCAAGACACTGATTCAATGAGGAAGGAGTTAGATGCTTTATAGGTGTTGGACCTTGTACTTCTCTTTGCAGATCACTGCATTCTGTTGCATGTTTTGTCTGTACTTGTAGTCCTAGTGACATCATCAGACAGATAGCGACTCTCTAAATAAAAGGATGAAATATTTTGCTATTGAGGACCAAGATTTTGTTCAAAACACAATTGCTTCTCTAATGCGTGCTACCTTGAGAGAGAAGACCACCTTCTCTGGGATTCTCTCTGGTATGAGGAACCTTTCAGCTGATTGGGGGGCTAATATCAACAATTCTAAATCTGAGTTACAGCCTTCACAGAATGGAGGTGATGAAAGAAAAGCAAATATATTTTAACCAATGGCAATTGCCCTAACTGCTCCTCAAGTACACTGCTTGCAGTTTTTGATATATGATTATGAGGTGGTTTCTGGTGGTAACCTTAGGAGGACAGGTCATCTCTTTGACAATAGTGGCTTCGAAATCCCAGTTGTTGATTTAAAACAGTTAGGAACATTTTTTTTTACGAGCTTGGTTTTTTCCTTCATATCTTAGACCAATCAGTGAATTTTGCAACATTGACAGATCTTGGGTACTTATGTTGTAGAGAATTTTATTTAGAATCTCTGACAGTTATTCAGTTTCCTATCCAATTTTTCCTTGGATGTGGGTAGATTGTGTACTTGACTCATCGTATTTTAATTTTCTTGAGAATGTCTTGATGCCATTTGACATCTACACTGATTCAGGTCACGAAGCCTCAGTGTTGCTAAAGCAGCAATTTCTAGATGATGTACTTAAAGCTGACGATCATCATTGCTTTGATACCTCTGCTTCGAAATTGTGTAAAACCCTTTTTGGGCAGCAAGTGAATTGCTTGATCCTTCATTTCTCTTTGCCTCAAACAACGCAGAAAAATATGCTGTGCAGCCTATGATGCTCAATATGTTGCTAAAAAGGATGAAAGTTAAAGTGAAGCTGCTTAGAAGGATGAATAATTTACAAAGTTTGATGAGTGAACGGATGCACAAAGTTTTCAATGGAAATATTGAGTTTCTGGTTGATCATTTTGAGTGTCAGAATCTGTTTGTCATAGTGGAATTAGAAAAGTTGTTGGATGTCCTAAACTATTTCCATAAACTTCTATCAAGAGATCTTTCAGTAGACTCTTTTAGTCCCCTGTTGAATGAGGTGCAAGAGAACATCTCTCTTGTGTCATTTTCTAGTCAACTGGCCTCGCAGATTTGGTCTTAGATGCAGCTGTATCGAGCATTACAGGCATTTGCAATGCTTGCTTGTTGCCAATTAATGATTATTGAGGCAGATTTTTCTGTTGCAATTCTCCACCTCCTCTGCACAGTTTTGGGAAATGCAAATTAAAAAATTGTCCTTTCTAATTGAACTATAGCACCGAGAGATTTAGCAATATGGTTTCCCAATCATCTAGATCTATGATCAGAACCATTTTTTTTCTAGGCTGATCATGTAATCCTCCTCTACACAAGTGCTTTAATGCAAGTTTAGCCCATGGCAAACATGTTTTTCATGTAGAAGATGTATTTCCTATGTTTAGAATACTTGTTTATAGAGAAGGGGATGAACAACTTTGGAAGTGCCCCTGCAAGTTGCTTCAAGTGGTGGGGAGACAAAGCTTTCTAATTGGTACCTGTAGGTGGCCTGAGATAATCATGCAGAGGAGGTAGTTGAACCAAAAGTGTCTAGCAATGGATGGTAGTATTTCAATCTATGGAGCAATGGGAGAGACAACTGACAAGGTAAGCACAATACCTCTGACCACTAATTTGATGGGAGAAATCCAAGGTGTGTGTGTGTGAACACCTAAGATCAAGCAAATGCTCTGGTCAATTGTGGTCTAGTAATGCTCAAAGTGTATGTTCCCCCCACTTGACACCGTATCTGCCTCTTATAAGGGTCTTGTGGCAGTTAAGAGAGAATGGACTGAATGAAGCGTGAAATCCGTAGATGGTGAATGTGGGTGAAGTGTTGGTGGCAAGGAGATCAGAGTGATAGATCCACTACCTGGGTTGGAGAAAGGCGAGTTCCGCCCATGGTCAAGGGTGATATCCATCTTTGTTAAGCCCCCCACTTATACCAGCCTCTCGATCAGGCTATCGCCACTTATACCAGCCCTTCGATCTGGCTATTATCAAACAGGAAGTCAACTCAGAGAAGTAGTAGAGTTTGTTACAGAAGTAGAAATGGTAGAATCTGAAAGGTCGAAACATTAGAAGACTAACTAAAACACAACCAGGTAAACTATCTGACTTTGATCTACATATGTCAAATAAAGGAACATTTTCCACTAATTTGGCCACGACATTCTTCAAAAGAATAACAAGATCACCCCACCTTCTGTAAACCTCAAATCTCTAGTATTTCCGCATTGCTTTATTCAACTTTGCACACACTTGTACTGTTACGACAACAAATGTCCTTAAAGGATCAAATCCAATTTCTTAGCAGCATTAATAGGTTTTGAATGCCTACGAATTGAAACAATAGGTTGCTAGGAGAGAGATGGAAGGTTGAGGCACTCCAAGATTGTTCCTCAAAATCTTTATGTTTGGAACCAACCCAAATTTTCTTTACAGTAATAAAAATTACTCCAGTCAGAACACTTGAATTTCATGTTTTGTTTTTTGGAAACATGTAAACAATTTGGAGACTGGTCCATTAGTCAGTCTTTCGACAGGTAGTTTTTTGTTGTGTCTTCCATCAACACAAGTTTAGTATCAAGTCCAAGTAAGAAACATCAGGAAACAAGTATTCAAGTCATTAGTACATAACCAGCATTAAATTATGATAATCAAGGTTCTCTTCTATTCGGAAGGAACTTGATAGTATATAGCCTTAGATATCCCAATTAAATATATATAGAAGGATAGGCAAGAACAATTTCACATTTGCTATCTAACAAAAAATCCAACACAGATAACAACTCATTAATAATTAATAATAAAGATAAAATCGACACAAGGCATATTTTCCATGAGAAGTTTAGAACTAAATACATTTGTTATTAATTATTCGGTTACTCCTCATTAGTCGTCGCAGTAAGAACTAAGAAGATATAGCATCAATTTTAAGTGGTGGCCACATTGTAGGTAAATTTTAGAACATCATACCAGAAGTGCTTTATTAAATGCTGACACAACTACAGGAAATTTGATTTGATGGAAATATAATATGGTTATTGGTCTTCTCTGCATGTTCTAACATAGCACAAATATTATTCAAATATGTTTGAACAAATGTTTCCCATAATAAATAAGATACTTAAAGTAAAAAAGGCAGAGATCAAGAAAAAAGACATCAGTACTACCGTTGGCCAACAAAACAAAGACACTCTTCTCTCAGTGTGTTTACGCTATCAAAATAAGAAACTAAACCAAGACAATAAAGCTGAAAATGATATGTAAGTTGTCTTTGCTACTTGATTATGGAATTAGCATGCTATAAATCAATGACTCAAAAAAGTCCTCTTACCACAAAAAAAGTGCAACTCAACTCGTCACACAAAAAGTGAAAGCATAAAAAACTCTTTTAAGTCTAACTTAGTGATGAAATGGACTACAATTCTAGAACCAAAGTAGTGAAATTGGAAGTAACAAGAATAGCCTGTAAAAACCTTCAAAGACTATCGTACATCTTGATGATCAATCAAACCTCGATATACATCCAGTAGGAGAGGCACATCATCCAGAAATTCAGTCACAAACGTCTTCAAAAAGTTTTCCTCGCTCATGGCCATAAAGGAACCCAAGCCAAAGCAACTCCCTAGCAGACCTTTTGATTTCAAGATTTTAATCACAGCACATCTGGGGACAATCCTCTTCTCAAAGTTGTAGGCTAGAGCCGCAGGGAATCTAGCAATATCATCCAGCGGCCAACCCATATCCTTCACCAGGAAATTCATTGATTTTGTAATCCTCTCCTCTGTATAGGACATAATAGTTGGATACTTTCTAAATACTGACAGAGTGATTTCGCGAGACCAACCCCACTTCTTGAAAGCCTCTAATCTCGATTCCAACTGTGAATTGTCCAGACTGATTAGCACGCGGATAGCACTGACAAAAATTCTTTTCAAATGATCAAGCCCCATATCCTTAGCTAACTCGACAGCTTGCACAAATTTTGAATGTTCCTTATACGCCGAAAATGGGTGAAAAATCACCAAGTGAGAGATGGAAGCCTGAGGCACACCAGACTCTCTCAAAACACTAATGTTTGGAACCAAATCATTCATCATATCATTGTACCAAAGTGCCCTGCCCTTCAAAGCTCTAACAACTTCCTCATCATTACGAACAACACTCCTGAGGATCTTATAACGAGGGATAAGACACTTGTTCAAGCTCCTTTTCAAGAGTGCAGGATTATAAATGATGAATTCTGGGAAATCAATGTTTGAAATCCCAATAGAGCGGAAGAACTTGAGTTTGGGCAAAAGGGTCTTCTCTGCTTTAACATTAAGCAGCGAGGGTATTTTCTGCACACATTTGGCAATCTGGTTTTTGGAGAATCCGAAGTTCTTGAGAAGATCCAGGACCGCATTTGATTTATCTAGGGTTTTCAATCGTACATTACTGGACACTCGTGCAGCGGTTTCGGGGGACAACCCACATGAGGTGATGAGGTAAGAGACCGTAAAGTTGTCATCTTGGTGTTGATTACGTTTTGGTTCAGAAAAGGTAGCCGATGACGTGAAGAAAAGGAAAGCATTTTGTCGAACGAAATTCAATTGGCTGCAGTTTGGGATTGGGAAGGAAGAAGCAAACCTAGAAATGAGAAAATAGTGCATCATTTTTTCATTTCCCACTCAGCGATTCTGCACGACTCAGCTTCAGCTTTCAGCCATTCTCCTTCTCCACACTCCACAGTTTCACATTGCAGCAGAATCTGAATAATCGTGAATCAACCAAGAGCTTGCAGTAATTGTAATTTTCATAAGGGTAGGGTTTCGGAGCACAGAGTATTACTTCCGCTAATCTAGCCTAGGCAAAGAACCATGCTTGAATCCCAGTTCATGGTAAATCAAAAGTAGGGAAATATGCAGAAAATAAAGTAATCTTCGCAGAAACATTAAACCTTGAAATATTCGTATAGAAGAGAAAGTAATAGACTAATAATAGGCAATCTTATTAAAACCGCCCGTTTATTGTCCCCGTGATTGTATTGGATACAGTAATTTTATAATTTTATATTAAAAAAATTAAATATATTTAAATATTTAAAAAAATATAAAAATTTCAAATATTAGAATATAAAAAATAAAAAATAAAAAATAATATATTATTATCCAATAAAAAATCAAACAAAAATATAATGATCGTGATATGGGACTTCAAGTTCAATAAACGACATCTCTAATTATAAATCAAATCAAATTTTTTTGCACAATACATAATTGAGATAATATTAATGTTATATGTACATAACTTATGTAAGTGAATAATATAAAAAAATTCAAATATGTCTATTATTTTTTTTTGTAAAAAATAATTTTGAAATTTTTTTTTTGAACTGAGCTGGGTCATCGATTTACATGAAAACCGACCGAGTCGGTCCAATTTTATTAACACAGGTAATAACCATTCACATATTTTTATTATTGTCAGTATTATTTTTTATTTTTATACTTACAACTTAATAATTTTTATCTTTTTACAATAAAATTAATTAGTTGTTACAAAATATATTGCATGAGACAATGCATACACAAAAAATGAGAGAAATTTATCTTTTCTTTTTTCTTTTTTTTCTTAACAAATCCCACCTATTTTTTCATGTATGGCATGAAAAAATTTGTTTTATGCAATATAAAAAAGCATATATTTTTTTTGTTTTAATAAAAATTTATGTTGAATTCATATCAACACGAATTTGATTAGTATTTTTTTATTTTAATATTTTTTTTATAAATTCGACCATTTTTTTAAAAAAAATTCGTCAATTACCATTTTACCTATAATTTATATGTTATTCGTATTATATAGTATTAAACCGCAAAATTTACATATCTTATTAGTGTTAAAAGTTTTAAAATAAATAAAAAAATTTACCTTGTTAACGTGTTCATTTCGTGTCAATATAAATTGACACCCCAACAAAACAAAAAATTAGAAAAATTACCTAGAAATTAAGACGATAATGATCAAGTGGCAGTGGCTGGTGTCCTTTGGAAGAAGCAGAGAATAGGAAATGGGAAAACTCGAAGTGGCAGTGATAATAGCAATGAAAGGACACCCAGGTAGTGGTAAGAGCACTCTAGCCAAATCCATAGCCTCTGCTCTTCAAATCCCTCTCATCGACAAAGACGATGTCAAAGACTGCACTGTTGCCCTCCAGCTAACCTCACCCGCTTCCCTCCTCAACGACCTATCATACCATGCCATCTGGCAGATTGCCTCCACTCAGCTCCGCCTCGGTCTCAGCGTCATCCTCGACTCCCCGCTCTCCCGCAGGGCCCACCTCGACCGCCTCCGCCACCTCGCCGCCATCACCTCCGCCCGCCTACTCGTCATCGAGTGCAAGCCCGCCGACCACGCCGAGTGGCGCCGGAGGCTGGAGGAGCGCGGCGGAGGAGGCGGAGGACACAAGCCTGCCACGTGGCGGGAACTCGAGAAGCTTCTGGAAGAGTACGGTGGATGCACGGAGTACGACGTGGGTGACGTGCCCAAGATGGTGGTGGATACAACCGCCCCCGTCCCTCTGGAAGAGCTTCGTTCCGCTGCTTTGGAGTTCATTTATTCTTACGCTGCTCCGCCACCAACGAATTAGTCACGTGCTTTTCAGATATGGGGCCTGCTTTTTACTCTATTCCCTTTGTTTCTCCCTCTAAATAATACATAGAAATTGTTCCCATGATTGATTATTATACGCTCTCAGTTATGTGGATAACCTTTATTTTTTGGACCTGATACATGTGTTGATTTTAAAGGGACGTTTGGTACGCGAGGGATTCTCATTAAATTAAATTTTTTTTAAATTTTAAATTTTCAGATATTATCGTAAACTGAATTCAAAAATCATATTTTAAAAAATCGAGATTCCCAACAAAAAAGCGAGGTAGCGCTGGGAGGGAGAACCCATCCCATCAAGGTTCTACAAGATGAGTGTATGAAATCTGTAAGATTTTTCTTAGAATTGTGAATGAAGATTTAACATGGTATTATTGCTAAAACAAAAAGAAATTAGGTGCCTGAAAGTGTTATTGGCACTGTTGTTGTTAGAATACAAGTATGAAATTGGTGGGATGGAGAACCCGTACCATCAAGTTTCGGGGGCAAGGAAGGTGGGTGAAGAAAACCCATGGAACAAATATGTGTATAGAAAATCCAGTAAATCGTGCTTGAAGAAAAGATAGAAGATTGGGTTATTTTTATAAAATTACTTGATATTTTTGATAATATTTAACAATTAATCAAATATAAAATCAATAAATTTCAGACAATATTATTAGTAATATTTTGATTTATCAAACAGTTTTTTTATCACATTTCCCTAAAATTTTATTTTCTCAATATATTCATGATAAATGATTTTTAGGCGTACAAAAATTTATCCTCTACACAGATGTCCCTTAATTAAATGGAGTTATTGGAATTGCATTTGGCTGAAATTATCAAAAAGGATCTGAACATAATTTATGGAAAACTTGGGCGGCGTGAATAGGTTTTGGACTAGCTTCTCGGGTAAGATCTCCGTTACACGGACATGTTTTTTTTTAAAATTTACGTGTCGGACACGTGTCGGACATGGACACGCTCCAACACGTTCGGACACGCGTCTGACACGCGGTCAATATTTGAGGACATGCGATCAACTCTCTGACACGTTTCGACACGCGGTTAATATTTGGGGACACACGGTCAACATTTGGGGACACGCTCGGACACATTCGGACACGTTTTTTTTATTTTTTTATTTATTTTTTTAAATCTTAATTTTTTTTTGTTAACTAAATATAAAAAAAATAATTTATAGAACCTCCAAAAAAAAAGAAATAATTTATAAATTAATTTTTTTCTGTTATAAAATTTGACATTAAAAATTAACAAACTACGAAAAATTATTTATATTTATATTTGTGTTATGAAATTTAAATATTTAATTGGTTATATGACTTATTATGGACTCTTATATGTATTAAATATAAATCATATTATATATATTAAAAATTTTATTTAATATCAAAACGTGTCCCAACGTGTCCAAATATGATATTTTTTAAAATTAATGTGTCGGCGTGTCGTGTCGTGTCGTGTCCCGTGTCCGTGCATCATAAGGTAGGATGAGAAATATCCATTTGATTTGGGCCAGTACCAATTCGAAATTAGGTCATGAGTCTCGTGACGTAAAAATAAAATAAAAGCAATTTTCATTTGATCATATTTTTTAAAATATAAAAATTTCTATTCTTAAGCCACTAGAGTTGGTTGAAAACTTTATTGCAATTTCGAAGTTTTTGTCCCCAAAAGAACATATCGTCGTAGATATTTTTTTAATTAAAAGTAGATAAAAATAAAATTTACATACCATAATTATTTTATCACCTATAAATGAAATAATTTAAAAAAGATAGTGAGTTTTGCCCATGGATCTGATTTAAAAAATTAAAAAGTTGGTTCCGTGCTGAGCAGAATACGGATTTCAAAGCCCCTCATTAGAAATTAAAATTCTACAGATGCCTATCATATAAAATAGCCAATTAAAACCTTCAAAAGAGTCAAACAACTTGTCAATTTCACTTTTTATAATTTGATGGAGCAGAAAATTTGGATAAGAGTACGTGCTTTCGGCCACCCTATCCACATAAGATTTAGAAACTTTATCCGTATTTATTCTTGTTAAAATCTTCTACTAACTTTTTTTTATTAAAAAGAAATCTCTTACAAACGTTAACATAAGCTATTAGAGAATCAGTTAAAAAAAAAAAAAAATTCAATGTTGGAGTCACTGGACTGAATTTATTTGTTGATTAATATGTATCATTTATTATATATATCATATCATTTAATAGAATTATTTCAAAATTGCATCTAGTGGAGATCAAATCTTTTTTGTGAAGATATAAATTATAATATTTACCACTAAGCTACATTTGTTTTTGGTTCACTTGCACCATCTATAATATTTATTTTATAATTGAGTATAAAATATAAATTTATATAAATATCCGATTCATGCAGTTGAACTCATTGATTTGATACCCCGACCAGATCGATAAACGGTCCGGATTTAATAACATTAATTTTAAGGACCAGTGTATGCGCAAGTATTAGTTCTTCTTTTTTACTAATGTTTGTGTTAATTAGTTCATTTATGATCAATTTGTAAAAATCTCATGCGCCAAATACGAGAACAGACAAATTAAACAATTATATATTATTTTAATAAAGAATTTTAACATTCTTCTTAATTATTCAAAGTATAATATACTAAACAAATATTAAGTAATTAAAATATTAAATTTTCAGTTTAAAAAATAATAAAGGAAATTTAAGGATGATATCATATAACATTTAAAAAAAAAATCATAAGAAACACAATTGTTTCGCGGAATATGACTGTAGTAACTTGTCATTTACGTCAAATGTGTGACATGTTTATAAGCTTGTGTCAAAACGGGTTGACACGACACAAATTCGACACGACACGAATTTTTATTCGTGTCAAAATCTTCAACACTGATACGACACGAATTTTTTGCGGATTGACACGACACGACACGAATAACACGCAAAATAAAGGTCAAAACGATAATTGATAAAAAAAAATTAAAAAATGGATCGAAATTAAAAAAATTAAAAAAATAATAATAAAAAATTAAAAATAAATTAATTTTAAAAAAATACAGGTCGACACGAACACGAATACATCAACACGAACACGACACGATTTTTTTTGCGGGTCAACCTGAACACGAATTTTCGTGTCGTGTCACGGGTCGACCTGCGTGTCAAAATCTATATTAACACCCCTACTTCTGACGATTAATAATAATTTATTAAAAATTCTTGTTCGGACTTTAGAATGTATTCTGCTCACAGAATTGTCCTACGCTTCTAAATCCGAACAATACTAACAGCACGCAATTAGATGTGTTGCTTGTGTGTAGGACAAAGTTGTCCGCAATTTTCAATATTCCTGCCAAATTGTTATTTGCCAGTTCATTTTAGGATTTTGATGTAGAACAGTGTAGAGTTGAAATGCTTTCTCTCTTTTTTTATCGGTCAAAAAGCAATTTACTTCGGACCCATTTGTTTTGGAAAGCTGATTCTTACATAACTTTTAATTTTATGGCCGGCGAACTTTTTTTTATTCCTTTTCTTTGAAAAATTACTTATGTTGGAGAGAATACAATATTTCGATATTCTCCTCGCACCTTTCTGTTTTAACTTTTAAAATTCCACCTTCTTATTCCTGGAAATTTAGCACCATTTGAAGAAAAGAGACAAGACGGTTGTTCTTAATATACATGGTAATCGTACGTTTGAGGCCAAGTGTCAAATGCATTACGTCACCGAATATTTTTGTTTTAGCGTAAGATAACTGTGATCTAATCCTTCAAGTCTATGAAATTATAACTTTTTTAAAAACATTTTTAACATTAATTATTCTATTATTAGGAATATTTCATTAATAAATAAATTGTAAGAACATCATCAAACAAATTATTTTTATTTTATTTTGTCCGCATTCTTGACTGAATGTAAAAAAAAAAAAGATGTGAGAGAGAGATTAGTAATTCATATTACCAAATTCGCAGATCAATTCACATATCAGATTGTTTCAGTTCATTAATAATATTGTGTTTAAGTTATAAATATGTAGTTGTATTAAATATTTATAAAGAAAATTCTATCACCCTTATAATTATGCCGATCCAAATCATCGAATAATCGGGAAAAGAATTATAAAAAATAAAAAAAATAAAAAATCAATTCGTACGGGAGCCATTCAAGCATAAATAATACTTTTAGCATAGCACCCATTAATATAACTTTTTATGCTTAAATTCTCTGATCACTTTGTCCTCTTCCAATCACATGTGCTGTATATGTACATTTAAAATTATGCTGATAAACATGAAAACTAGTTGACATGGACATAACATATAAACTTTAAGGAGACATGTGAAAATTGAGAGAATAATAAAAACTTAATAAAGGAGAAAAAAATCCAACTAACGTTTCTTGTTTTCTTTCCCTTTCAGGGAGAACCCGGGAAGTCTCGGTTACCGAGCATCGTTAGCCAAGCTTTCTCTCTCCTTCTCTCTGTTTTTTCTAGCTTCTCTTTCCATTTTGAGGGTCAACTTTGCTCTTTCTCTCACTTTCTCTTCCTCTTTCTATTCTAAGTCGTCTTCGCTTCTTTGGTGGAAAGGACTCAGATCCTCTCAAGCATTCTTGATGTGAAAACTATCCATCTTCCTAAGTTTCTCTGGTGTTGCAGTGTCAACTTCTCAGGCGTTTAACAGAGTCTGTTAATCAAAATTTATCTCTGGTTCATTTTCTAGAGCTGCCGCTGTGTTCATCTTCCATCTTAATTCAAAGGGTGATCCTTTATGTAATATTTGGATCTTCTTTTCCTCTTCATTTCTTTCCCACAGCAGTTGAGTGCTAAAAGTTCAAACTTTTTCGTTTTTTCTCCTCAATATATTTGATGGGTCATCAGATAGATCACCATAATGCAAATCATCTCAATTTTTTGATTCTGGGAATCTGACTTTTGTTGCTTGACTTGCTAGTGAGTCTGGTGTTGTGAATGGGGGAAACAGTGACATTCTGTAATTTTGCTTATTTGAGCTTTGTTTAGCTATTATTATGTTGGCTAGCTTTTCGATTGAGATCGACCCTTAAAGGAGTATATTTTCTTTGTTTTGCTTCTAAATTAAGTCAAACAATTTTTTGACTAAATTGGAACCTGCTATGTTTGGGGTCATGGATAATGCAAACGAAGCATCATCATCCTTGAGTTTTGCATCATCTCTCTTGTCAAATGGTTCTAGTAATCACAACATATCTTCCTCCACCAACAATGAGCATGTAGCAAATATTGACATTTTGAGTCTGAGTAAGCTCAGTGGATGCCTTGAGAAGTTGTTGACCGATGCTGATTATGATTATTGTGACGCTGAGATTCTTGTTGAAGGCATCCCTGTGGGTATTCATCGCTGTATATTGGCTTCACGTAGTCAGTTTTTTCATGACCTTTTTAAGAAAGGAAATGATGGATCAGTGAAGGAAGGAAAACCAAGGTATCTCATGTCAGCTTTGGTGCCTTATGGCACAGTTGGATATGAAGCTTTCCTTGTTTTCTTGCATTATTTGTATACTGGAAAGCTAAAGCCTTCACCACCAGAAGTTACAACATGTGTTGATGAAGCATGTATCCATGATGCTTGCCGCCCTGCTATCAATTATGCTTTGGAACTATTGTATGCTTCTGCCACTTTTCAGATGAAAGAGCTGGTTTTGCTTTTCCAGGTATGTTGTCTCATTTCTGGCTCTTTTTTCCTTTGTTTTACTTTGGTAATTTTTGTGTCAAAGAGGGAAAATGTAACAAATTCAGAGTAATGAACTAAAGCTCCACAAAATCACTTTGGGCTGAATAACACAATATTGTATGCTCATGTGCTGAATTCAGTCTTTGCTTAAAAGATCTAATGTAAATATCTCTTTACTGATGCAGCGACGTCTCCTAAATTTTGTTGAGAAGGCTCTTGTGGAAGATGTCATTCCTATTCTTATGGCTTCCTTTCACTGCCAACTAAGCCAGCTTCGCTCTCAATGCATTCAGAGAGTAGCAAGGTCTGACCTTGACAGCATATCTTTGGAAAAAGAACTCCCTCATGAAGTTGTGACTGAAATCAAGTCACTCCAAGTCCAATCTCAACCAGAATCCGCACCTGAAGCAATGGAAGTGGAACCTTCAAATGATAAGAGTATCAGGAAAATCCATAAAGCATTGGACTCTGATGATGTTGAGCTACTTAAGCTTCTTCTAAATGAGTCTAGTGTCACTCTAGATGATGCCAATGCTTTACACTATGCCTGTGCCTATAGTGATTCTAAGATTGTTCAAGAAGTTCTTTCTCTAGGCTCGGCTGATGTTAGCCTTAGAAATCCACGAGGATACACGGTTCTTCATGTGGCTGCAAGACGAAAGGATCTATCCATTTTGGTAGCATTGCTGAAAAAAGGGTCATGTGTATCAGATACCACTCCGGATGGACAAAATGCTCTTTCAATTTGTCAGAGGTTGACAAGACGCAAGGATTACCATGAGAAAACAGTGCAGGGGAAGGAATCTAACAAGGACAGGCTCTGTGTTGATGTCTTGGAGAGAGAGATCAGAAGGAATTCTATGTCTGTGAATATGTCTTTTTCGTCACTGTTAACTACTGATGATTTGCACATGAGACTGGGAATCTTTGAAAATAGAGGTAGAGCTTTTACTTGTCTAGGTTACTTTCTTTCAATGAATATGGAATTGGGACCTTTTAGTTATCATGGGAATATGCATGAATCAGAATCACAACAAAACATTATTTATATGATGCTTTTGAATTTGGAAGCATATGGACATGAAATTAACAGTCACTTTCTTTCATGTTGCAGTTGCAGTTGCTAGGATGCTGTTTCCTGCTGAGGCTAGGGTAGCCATTGAGAATGCTGAGGCAGATTCAACATCACTGTACGCAAGGTCATCAGCTTTGAAGGGCCCAAGTGGCATTCTAAAAGAAGTAGACCTAAATGAAACCCCTTCTGTTCGAACCAGAAAACTACAGTTAAGATTGCATGCCCTTCAAAAAACAGGTATGTCCAAGAGAATTTTGAAATAGCTTCCTTGTAATGGTTCTGCATCATTGGGGAATATGGATATGACTTGTTCTCTATTAACATCAAAGCGAGCTTGCATGTACATTGCCTTGGTTAGAAGTTACAACATACCAGAACTGTGAAAATCTAAGAATTAGGTAATGCCATCATTTGGATTAGCTTTAGATTTGTACTAGTCAATTCTTTGCTTCCCCACACCAAAAATATAAAATAAAATAAGAAATGGAAGTTACCAAGCTATTCATCTGATGTTTTATTGACGTGGGATTGACAATGTAAATTCTTTAGCTCCAACTTTGTAAAAGAAGCTATACTGCCAATGTGAGCTCTCCTGAATCTGAAGAAATGGCCATTATTTTTTTCTCTGAAAGCCAACATTGCTTCCATTTATGTTTCAATTTTCAATATCACTTTACTGCAGTGGTAGCTAATATTTTAGCTTTGCAACTTTTTCCTCAATTCCTTTGTCTATTTAGTTTGAGAATCATAAGAATTTTGTAATTGTCATAGCTCATAGAAAAAGAAAAAGATATATTACAAGATAAGAATCAGACAGCAAAGCCTGAGAGAAGAAATAACTATTCCCCTTTCTCTCGATGATTTTTTTTTTTTTTCTTCCTTATGCTTTCCTCACACGTGCACCTATTTTTTAAGGTTATTGCCCCAGGATTTGTGATTCTAAATGTTTTAGCCTCAGTCCATTTCTTGTTGAAATTTATGAGACCCAATATTTAATAGTCATAAAATGCAATAAAGAAACTTTTCATCACTTGTAGTAGTACTTTGCAAAGTAACAGATGGAAAAGAATCATGGTGGTTTCATGTTGTTACTAAAACTCCTTGAGTATACTTTTTGAACTGTCTGCAGTTGAGAATGGCAAGCGCTTCTTTCCACATTGTTCTGAGGTGCTTGATAAGTTTCTGGACGACGAGATGCCTGATGTTTTCTTCCTAGAGAAGGGCACTGAAGAAGAGCAAATAATCAAGAAAGCACGCTTCCAGGAACTTAAAGATGATGTGCAGAAGGCATTTCATAAGGATATGGCTGAAAATAACCATACAGGTTTTTCATCTTCAGTGTCTTCTGCATCATCCTCATCTCGTAGGGATGGTCTTAGTCATAAAGTGAGGAAAAAATGAAGTCCCTGTTCTTCTATAGTGGTTGCTTAAAGTTTTGGCTTTTTGAAGCAGTGCAAGTAGCACTTTATAGCATATATTGCCAATAAGATGCTATGTTACAGTAGGAGTTTTGCAAATGAACATGGGACATTTTTCTAGATTGATGTACTTGCTTGCACTTTTTGCACCAAAAGGAAAGAAGAAAAAGAAAGAAAGGAAGATGTACTCGCTAGGTATATTTGTTCCTCCGAAATTGGTGAATCATGTAAAGATTTTATTAATCTCACGTTAAAGAAAATAAGTTATCATATGTCATAGAGACAAACTTGTGGGTTTCGCCACTTGAAAAATAAAAAAAATAAAAGAAAAAGGTGACACATTTATCGAAGGGTGTATAGGAAGAAAAATTTGTCACATGTGAAGGACCTCCTAAATTCAAGTAGATTATGCCTAAATGGTTTTGATGATGTCAAAGCATGAAGAACTTAATTTGAAGATGCTAAAGTTTTGGGTTAGACAATTTATGATTCTTTGTAACACATAAGATATATCACTAAGCATGACTTCAAGCTCCAATGCATTTAATTCATCAAATTATTTTTGCATTTGACTTTGATAATTTGACTACGTTTTATGTTAATGTGAAGTTGAAGTCATGAGAGTTTAAGTGTTTATATTGAGGTACAAGCAATGAATTTGTTTAAAAATAAATATGATTCAAAAGATTGAAAATTTTAAATGTTTGTGAAATTCTGTTGTTACTCGCTCAGATACTCGTACGTTCGAGTAAAACGGTGAGGTGACAAATTTAATTCGCTCAGATACTCGCACGTTCGAGAAAAATAGTGAGATAAATAATCAGCTCGCTCAAGTCCTCGAACGTTCGAGCAAATTGGCGAGCAGTCGCGAAAAATGATTTAAAAGAACGCTGTCGCGAAAAATGATTTAAAAGAACGCTGTCAGTGCTCTCCGTTTTCATAACTCGAAAATATATTTCTCTCTCCTAAAAAATCTCTCTCTCTCTCATTGTTTTTCAGAAATGTTCAAGAGTCAAAAGCCATCTTAGTGAGATTAATATCTTTGAAGCCTTATTGTGTGTAAGATTCATGAGTGTGTGAGATTGTTTAATCATCTTCTTCCAAAATCCCCAAATTTCCATCAACATTTTCATCTTCTTGAACCCTAAACGAAATGTATCAATGTTGATGAGTTTCTTGATCGATTTTGATGGAAGCTATTTCTATTCTGAATCAATTTACTGTAATAAAGGAAATTTGTGTATCAAGCCTGAAGAAAATTTGTGTAATTGTTTACTGAGCATGTAGCATGACAATTACACAAATTTTCTTGGTGCAGGGATCAAGGGATTGCTTGGTGCAGGGATCAAACTCTGCCTCAAGCAGTTTCTTGGAAAATCTTTGGGGGCCAGAGGATAAGCCAAAAAATCTTCGGTTGGGGGATTAGTCTCGTCCTTTCTCAGGTTGCGAAGCTTAGTGCACTCACTGTTACAATGAGGGGCTAGCCCAAACGGGCCGTACCCCGAGGGCATGGTGCCCGGAGAAGGTTGAATGAGGATACCTCCTGGCAATATACCAAAAAAAAAAAAAAAATTAAAAAAGTTTAGAACACCTATTCACCCCCCCCTCTAGGTGTTCCGTAAGCGTCCTGTGTAAGAAGCCACTTGTCCAACAACATGTAGCATGAGAATAGTTTTTTCCATCATGTAATATATGGGAAATGAACATTCCCCCCAAGACCCAAAAGTATTCATGGTTTGATTCCTAATATTCCATGTTGAGAATGCAGATTTTTTCCTAAGTATTCACGAAATCAATGCAAGATTCATTTCATTTGCAAGGAACCATCTGTGTTTTAATAAATTTTTATTTTTTTCTCCAAGCAATATATATAAAACAAGTAAACGAAGGTTTTTTGTGGGCTTTTTGCTAATCAAAAGAATACATGGCATGTACAACTCAAAAGAATAACATCATGTCATGTACAAAATGAAATGTCAATCAAAACATGACTATCAGGTCAGATAGTATCTCTCCTCCGACCTTTTGCAATGCGATGCCTCAGCACCATCAACTATTGTACCTGAAATGGTAATCTCCATAACGCGGGGTGAGATAATATAATTACCTCAGTAAGCTAGGGTCCCTTATAGGGCTCCTCCATCCTAAGCCCACTTCTGGTATAACCACTATATAAAATCCATGCATGTATCAGAATATGTACATCAATGCAGTGTACAGATAATAAATCCGACTGGCCAGATAATGAAACATGTATGCATTACACAAGGTAACTCATCTTGCAATATACCCATACATGGTAACTCATCATGTACTACGCATAAGGTAACTCCTCTTATGCTTTACACACAAGGTAATACATATACATGAATCATATACCAGTTCATATCCATATACCATATGAAAGAATCACCTCCCTTGGAGTTTGGTGAAACAAACGGGGACCGAAAGCTTACCTCAAGTAGGCTTCCTCTTTTACTCTTTCTTGTAGTCCAAATAATCAAGTCAAACAGACTTTCACACCAAAACACCTATTTAAAGGTTACAAGTGTGATCAATACATATGATATACATAACAAATTAATCCAATAGCTAACATTTCACAAAGAGATTTAAGTTGGATAACTTACCCTACGCTTGATAACTTAGTGTCCCAAGTCCAAGTGATTTATTCACACAAGATAATGGCAACAACGCAACCTATTAAAGTATACCTCTATAAATATAAAGCAAAAAAAAAAAATTCATGCCTTGTTAATTTTTCATGTCAAATTTCGTAATAGAAAATATTTGATTTATAAATTAAATTTTCATGTTTAGTTTAAAAGATAAATTTTTTTTTGGATATGCATGAATGTTGACTGCGTGTCGGAACGTGTCAAAGCATTGACCATGTGTTCGAATGTGTGTCGAAGCGTTTGTCCCAAAACATTAATCGCGCGTCAGAAGTAAGTGTCTCGGTGTCCGACACGTAATTTTCACCCAAAATGACGTGTCAATATCAGTGATCATCATCATCACTGCATCTTCCATAAGAATGCAGATAATGACTCAAGCTTTGTGCGCTTGACGCCGTTAGCTGAGCTGGCCAGTGACTGCATACTGTTGAGTTGTTCACATGTGACATGGTATATGCGGCTGATGAGTGGATTGGATCCAGATTCGGGTTCAGCGGAGGTGGGAGGTCAGAGATGGGGACGTACATGTGATGGAGTGAAGGGTGGATGGATTGTGGCCATCTGGGGTGTTGCGAACTCGGCAAGTGCACCGGTCGTACAAGTAATAAAGTGATAAGATTAAGTTGTCGATCCCACGAGAATTGATGACCAATCAATAATTTATCTATTTAACTAAAGTTGGAACGATCCTGAAAGGATTTCTTAAGAATATTTTAATTAAATTAAAACAGAATTTTTAAATTTATTTTTAGTTTTCAATAATTTATAAAATAAATTCAGAATTAATAAAGCTAGAAATTGGTTTTAAGTTTTTAATAAAAAGACGTAGCTAGGACTCGACTTTCCCAGTGGTTTCCTAACGAATCTACCTATTCTTATGATTATATTCAAGATCAAGTTATTAACAATTCTTTCTATATTTGATCAAATCTCAATCCCTTGGTAATCTAATTCTTTATTTCACTCCAAAGCCTGGTCCCTTAGTACTTTTTCATAAAATAAGCATTAACGCAAGAAGCTATGGTTATATAATTCATAAGTCTATCCCTAGATCATACAAATTCCAGCAATCAATCAATCGGAATCGGCACACCAACATTCTTATTGTCATGCACGACTCTAATGCTTATTCAAGATTGGTCGGATCATAAACAAGACTAAAAATTTTAAACAGATTAATTGCATAACTTAAATCAAGAATATAAATCATAAGAGAAGCAAATAGCGTTTAAGAACCCATTGGTTCCGTCTCGCCCTAACTCCTTAAAGAAAATTAGCCTGACATAGTCAGGAAAACAAGAACAATAGATGAAAAGAAACTAAAATTCATAACCAGGGAAATAAAACTAGATCTCCATGGTGAAGCTTTGACCGTTCCTCGACTCCTCTACCTTCTGGATGCGTTCATCTTCCTCCTTTTCTTCGCGTCTCTTGAATTCAAGAATGAATGGAATGAGCCCTAACGTGCGTTTTTACAGAAATAAAGATGGGCTTTTTAATTTGGACCAGGCTTGCTAAGGATTAATTTTGATTAATTCTTTATTTTTCTTGATCCTTATCCTTTGCAACTGCCTTTATCCTTCTTGATTGCAATTTGTTATTTTAGACCTGAAACAAACTGAAAAGAGATTAGAATCTTATCCAGTTGTTCGTTTTTTAATATCTTTAGATTTTATTAACTAACACTATATTTTTAATCATATTAATTATTATTTGAACTATATTTAACCTTAAAAACATAGTGTCTTGGACACTTACATAGGGATAAGAAGGGAACGCCGAAAACAAGGCCTCGTTGGGATTGTGGGCTTGATGGGCCGGGCTATCTCGGCCTATGATACAAGGAACATGTTGGAACAGTGACCAATGTACCACATACTGGTCACTTTTTTACCAGTATGCCACGCAAACAGTAATATTTGTCAAAGTACCACGTGTCCGAGTTCGCTGCAGTAGGTAGCGAACTCGGTTTGCTGATGTAGCACGTTTCTGGTGACCACCTAGTTCGCTATAGGTGTAGTGGACTAGGTGGCAATTAGCACCCCTCTGTTATAACAAAAGCTGGACACGTGGCAGTGTTACGAAAGTTCTCTAGGGGTTATAGCGAACTAGATAAAAATAACCATGGATAACACGCACAAGTTCGCTACACTAAGTAGCAAACTATGTGCAACATGTACTGTTTATAATGGCAAAGCCACTGTAAAGAACATTGGGATACACCACCCCAAAAGCTAGCTCAAAGGGTGGGAGTGCCCAAAGCCTTATAAAGGCTACATTAGTTGCACATACAACCAATGTGGGACTATATATCTCATCACGTCCCTTTACACGAGAGCCCATTAGGCTTGAAGAGTGGAAGATGCAACAAGCCCAGCCTACCTGTGCTAAGAAAGTCCACAAGAGAAAGTGGGGGACGGCGAGGCTCTGATACCATATAAAGAACCTTGGGATACACCACCCCAAAAGCTAGCTCAAAGGGTGGGAGTGTCCAAGGCCTTATAAACTCCACATTAGTTGCACATACAACCAATGTGGGACTATATATCTCAACACGCCCCCTCACACGAGAGCCCACTAGGCTTGAAGAGTGGATGATGCAACAGGCTCAGCCTACCTGTGCTAAAGAAATTCCACTAGAGAAAGTGGGGGGCGGCGAGGATCGAACCTGGGACACGAGGCTCTGATACCATGTAAAGAACCTTGGGATACACCACCCCAAAAGCTAGCTCAAAGGGTGGAGTGTCCAAGGCCTTATAAACTCCACATTAGTTGCACATACAACCAATGTGAGACTATATATCTCAACAGCCACCTCTATTTAAAAGACATCGCTTGTCACTCAATCATAATAAAGCATCCCATGTCTACGTTGGTATAATAACATCATCTATTAGGAAGCTAAAAGCGTGAAGTGTTGGAAACTTAAAAGGTGTTGGAAACTTTATATGCACTTTTTGATGAGTAGGGGTCAGGCGTAGGAAGATATAGGGGAATCATTTCTCTTTGGCAGCAACTGTGCAAAAGTTATTAAATGTAAATAAAAGGTTGCATGTAGTTCGCTACTTAGTGTAACGAACTGATGCGTGTCAGACACATATTTCAATGATTATTTTTACCTAATTCGCTATCACCTCTAGCGAACTTGTATAACATTGTCATGTGTACAGTTTTTGTCAGAGTAGAGGAGTATTTATTGCCACCTAGTTCACTACACTCAGTAGCGAACTATAGATGGCCACTAAAAACACGCCACATTAGCAAACCGAGTTCGCTAATTGTTGTAGCAAACTCGGACAAGTGGCATTTTGACAAATATTACTGTTCACGTGGTATAATAATAAAAAAATGCCCAATGTGTAATACATTGGTCACTGTTCCGAACATGTTTGCAGAGTGGGCATCGACAATGTGATGGTCAAAAGTGCATCCCAGTACTAGCCCACCACACTCCAATGGAAGTTGAATAAAAATTTCTTCAATCTTTCATAGAAGATTAAGACGTGAAAATCCTGCATGAATATTGCACCACACAGAAGAATCGCCTGCAAAAGTGCATAATAACCGCCAGGTACCACCAAAGTTTAATTACCATTTACTATATATTCATTAACATCTTATATCTATCTATATTGCGTATATTACAATTCTCTTCATACTAGTAAGTATTACTAATATAATAAAACTAAATAAATGAAATTAATAGTTCTTTGATTATTATAACACTACCTTGAGATCAAATAATTTTATTAAAGAACAAAAAAATTACAGTTTTTTTTGGACAAAAAAGAAAATTTTGAGTTTCTTTTTGAAATCTTTATGAAAATGAAAAATTATTGAGCAAGTATAAAATATCGTATGTACTCAAATTAATAATCAATATATGTAAAATCATGTGATTTATGATACAAATGCATCTATTTCAAATAATATCACGAGAAAACAGTGCAAGGGAAGGAATCTAACAAAGACAGGCTCTGTGTTGATGTCCGAGAGAGATGAGAAGAAATTCTATGTCTGTTCCGTCACAGTTAACTACTGGATGATTTGCACATGAGACTTGAAATCCTTGAAAATAGAAGTAGAGCTTTTAGTGTTCTAGGTTCACTACTAGAAAATGTTTTTTTTTTACGGAAATGAAGTCGTCGAAAATATCTTCGTGGGTAACAATTTTTTCAACGGTTTTACAGATTCCGACGAAAATTTCGACGAAATAATTTATGTGGAAAGTTTCAACGGAAAAATTATTCCGTCGAAAATTTTTGACGGGAAATAAATGAAATTCTGTCGAAAAATCTTGTATTAATTTTCGACAGAAAATGAATTCCGTTGAAGATTTTCGACGGAAAATAAATGAAATTCCGTCGAAAAATCTTATATTAATTTTCGACGAAAAATAAATTTCGTCGAAGATTTTCGACAGAAAATGAATAAAATTTTGTCAAAAAATACTGTAATAATTTTCAGCCGAAAAAAATTCTGTAAAAAATTTTCGACGGAAAAAGAATAAAATTCTGTCGAAAAAATTTGTAATAAATAAATTTATTTTTATAATTTGAATTTAATTTTTTTTATATAAATCTATATTTTCAAATACGATAAATATTTAATCATATAATTTAAATATTAAAAATCTTTCATATGTAATTTTCATTTGCAAATTTGATTCCTTAATTTAAATATTAATATATTTATTTAAAACTTTCATTTGCTAATCTCTTTCAATTATTTCAGAGATCAAAACACAGGTTATAATTGACATATATTTAACCATAAGAATATGACCAAAATTTTGCATTATATATCAAAAGCATAAATAAAATTCATAGAATGAAGGCCATGAACATGAACACATTCACAAAGCAAGCAGTAGTTGCCTTAGGCTGCTAACATATAATAAACGAAGGAAATAGGTCGGTACATGGAATATATAATTAAGCTAATTGTAGTTACAGAGAATGAAATCTTGTGATTTTAAGGCCCTATGATGTCAGTCCAAACTGTACACAGCTTCCTACTCGCTACAGAGGATAGGAAACAAAACAAGGCAAACTGAGAGAGAGGCAGCAATAAAGGTTGGCCGGACAGTCACTTCCTTCTACTAATTTCAGATTCTTAATCACAATATTGAGCAGGCCTTTTGTGCTTTGGTGGGTGAAGAACCTATCTGATGGCAGCATCAAAGACAGTCACATTCTGTCAGATAAAAAATAGCTAGTTGTTTTGCTCTCCTAAACAACTAAACATTTCGTCATGAAATATAAAATGTCCTATTGCATCTATAAACATGGAATACCGACACAGAATAAAATTATAACACATAGAATAGCCAAAAGACTTTCCTGAAATACAAGCCTCTTTTGGCGTCTATCAGGTAAAGGGAACTCAATCTTGCGATGAAGCCCTCCAGGACGCAAAAGAGCAGGATCCAAAGTGTCTGCTCGGTTAGTTGCCATGATGACTTTAACATTTACTGTTTGGTCAAAACCATCCATCTGAACACTTCTCAACATGTAATTAAACCCGAAATTCAGAGAATATCTAAAACCAAAGAGGAAGTGTATTCAAAATAAAGAGCCAACGGTTAAGAGATAAGTGAAGACTAAACCACTGTAGCTCAGCAGAGCTTGGTAAACAGTAACCAACAACACACTTATTGAACCTGATAGAAATCTTTTTATAGATACCTGATTCAAAAGTTCCATGAGGATACGTTGTACTTCTCTATCAGCTCCAGTTTGGGCATCAAATCTAGCAGTAGCTATTGCATCAACCTCATCGATAAATATAATTGCAGGGGCATTCTCTTTTGCAAGACGAAATACATCACGTACCATCCGGTGGACCCTGAAATATAAATAGCAAAGAAGATTGGAAGATATTGCAGTAAATAATAGCAAAGAGAAATATCAATTAGGATAATAAATAAATTAGGATAATAAATAAATTAGAGACACTACCAATGGAATAAGAAAAAAAAAATCCCACAATATAAACGACAGGGGAAAAAGAAGATCAGAAGATCACTACATAAATGTTAAGAGAGAAAAGTACACCTGTTGTGTTTTTCAGCTACACTTGATGTAGGCAGGGCCACCAATCAGCTTCATAAGAAGGTACAGTACCCCCTCCCCACTACACCGCAGATTCCACCATTCCACTACACTGCACCTCGCCGTCGCTGAGCTGATGCTCCTCGCCGTCGTTGCCGCTGCACGTCGCATATGTCGCTGTTGCACCCGCCGCCACTGAGCTGCTGCACCTCGTCGCCGCTGAGCTACACGACGTCATTTTTTGGTGTCTGCAATGCATCAATCCCCTTTTCCATTGTCTAGCCGCCTCTCTTAGTCAAACGAATATAGTTTCTTTTTTCTTTTCTTTTTTCAAAAGTTTTCGACGGAATTCTTTTTCCATCGACGATCTTCGACGGAATCCGATTTTCGTAGAAAATTCCAAAGAATATAGTTTCTTTTTTCTTTTATTTTTTCAAAAGTTTTCGACGGAATTTTTTTTCCGTTGAAGATCTTCGACGGAATTCGAATTACGTCGAAAAGTAAAAAGAATATAGTTTCTTTTTTCTTTTATTTTTTCAAAAGTTTTCGACGGAATTCTTTTTCCGTCGAAGATCTTCGACAGAATCCGATTTCCGTCGAAAATTCCAAAGAATATAGTTTCTTTTTTCTTTTATTTTTTTCAAAAGTTTTCGACGGAATTTTTTTCCGTCGAAGATCTTCGACGGAATCCGAATTCCGTAGAAAATTCCAAAGAATATAATTTCTTTTATCTTTTATTTTTTTCAAAAAATTTCGACGGAATTCTTTTTTCGTCGAAAAGTCAAAAGAATATAGTTTCTTTTTTCTTTTATTTTTTCAAAAGTTTTCGACGGAATTCTTTTTCCGTCGAAGATCTTCGACGGAATTCGAATTCCGTCGAAAAGTCAAAAGAATTTAATTTCTTTTTTCTTTTATTTTTTCAAAAGTTTTCGACGGAATTCTTTTTTCGTCGAAGATCTTCGACGGAATCCGAATTCCGTCGAAAATTCCAAAGAATATAGTTTCTTTTTTTCTTTTATTTTTTTCAAAAAATTTCGACGGAATCTGAATTCCGTCGAAAATTCCAAAGAATATAATTTCTTTTCCTTTCATTTTTTTCAAAAGTTTTCGACGGAATTCTTTTTCCGTCGAACATCTTCGACAGAATTCGAATTCCGTCGAAAAGTCCAAAGAATTTAATTTCTTTTTCTTTTATATTTATCAAAAAAATTCGACGGAATTCTTTTTCAGTCGAAGATCATCGACGAAATCTATTTTCCGTCGAAGATTTTTGACAGAAAAATAATTCAGTCGAAGATTTCAACGAAATTTTTTTCGTCGAAAATTTCCGTCGATAACAAAGGCATTTGTAGTAGTGGTTACTTTATTTCAATGAATATGGAATTGGGACCTCTTAGTTATCATAGGAATATGCACGAATCAGAATCACAACAAAACATTATTTATATGATGCTTTTAATTTGGAAGCATATGGACATGAACGTAAGTACGAAACAATCCACTCCCATATAACTAGGGGTGCATAGTTCAAATTAAACTGAATTTTTTTAAGAATCAAATCTAATTGGTTTAAACGGTTCGGTTTGATTGGAAACGGTTCGATTCGATTCCGAATTAATTTAGATCGATCTTATTCTGGAAAAAAAAATATTTTAAAGAAATAAAGTAATAAAAATCAGTTTGATTCGGTTCGAAAACGGTTCGATTCTTGAATTAGTTTTAAAAACTAATTCGGTTCATGAACCGATTCCTTAAAAATCAGTTTGGTTCATGAACCGATTCTTTAAAAATCAATTATTTTTAGTTCAATTCGATTTTTTGATTCTTTTGCATATCCCTATATATAACTGTTGTTCCCACTGCCTAACGACTATATTATATTATATTCCTGTTTATCGAGTTACCATTATGTATTATGGAGAATATACAGACATAATATTAAAGTAAAATATTTTTTCTCTCTTCAAAAAATATATTAGCACATGTGTTATATTCCTATTAGTATTAGGTATTATTGTAGTATATTATATTTTTCATGAAAGAGAGTCTTTAACGAATATAATTTTGTGTCATTTAAGATTCTAACTGTTGGTTTTTGTTAATCTAACGGTTATAATTTACCAAATTGAATTATATAATAAATTAGTAATTCGCAATAAATTATAATCGTTGATTGACGAAAATCAACTGTTAGGATCTAAAACAACACAAAGTTATATCTTTTAAAAAGACAAATATTTTCCCTTATTTAAATAGACAAACTAATATATTTTAGGGTAATAATTCTCTCATTTAACATTAGAGAAGTTTTTTCCTACACTAACAAAAAATGTGGAGCCCACAAGTTAAAAAAATAAAAAAGAAAAGAAATTGCGTGCACATATTTTTTGTTTATATGACATGAGATAGTTATCTTCTACAGCTGAAGAAAATAATTTTCCTAAATTTTATGGTGATATAAACGTAAATTATGATGGTAAAAAATAAGAGTTTTTTTTATATTTAAATATCAAATAAAACACAACAATCTTAACTAAAATGTCTAAAAAATTATGATGGTAAAAAATAATATATTTTATGGTGATAGAAACATAAATTATGATGGTGAAAAGTAAGAGTTTTTTTTTTAATTTAAATATTAAATAAAACACAACAATCTTAACCAAAATGTCTAAAAAACAAACATTTTTCCTATATTTTTTACTGTAACCAAAGCAATAAAAATAAGAGAAAAGTTATGATTTTATTTACCAAAATAAAATAAAATAAGAGAAAAGCAGAAAATCCTATTGCTTGTCAACAATTTCGGCCTGAGGGGAATATATTCAGTGGTTGGCCTCTATTTTTCCCTCTCTCTTCTCTCTCCTCCTGTGCATGGGGGTCGGAACCGAATATTCTCTACTGGGGGAGGGCACGAGGAAATTTTGACAGGCTGTATAATAACCATAAAGGACCTTCCGTGAAGTTTCATTGGTAGTGTTCTTCTATACTTGCTTCACACTTTGGTGTCTATCCCCTGAAGACAATGTGTTTAAGAAAACCCCTTAGTTATAGACTTATAGTAACTATTATCCTCCATTTCTCATTGTACGTACTAGAACAATTATAGCATCCTCCTCTTTTCTTTGACAAACATTTCGATTGTTGCAGCATCCTCAAAGCTTAATTGTTGCTTTTACTATGGAAAAATATGTGGAAGAGCCATGTAGTTTTCCCCATGATGTTTTCCTTAGTTTTAGAGGTGAAGATACACGGCACACATTTATAGGATACCTTTGTAAAGAGTTGTGTCGGAAGGGAATTAACACTTTTGTTGATGATAAGAAACTGAGGATAGGGGAAGATATTTCACCTGCCCTTTGCAAAGCCATTGAAGAATCTAGGATTATTATCATTGTGTTTTCTCAAAATTATGCATCTTCCACATGGTGCCTTGATGAACTTGTCGAGATCGTAAACTGTATCAAGAGGAACAACAAACAACTTGTTTTCCCAATTTTTTACCATGTAGATCCTTCCGTTGTAAGGCATCAGAAAAATCATTACGGGGAAGCCATGAATGCACACGAGGCTAGGTTTGGCAAAGACTCAAAGAAAGTGCAAGCTTGGAGATCAGCTTTGTCTTACGTAGCTAACTTAACAGGGCACCATTTTAGTACTGGGTATGTATGTGCCTACAATTTCTTTCATACATTGTCTTTTGGCTGTTGAGGTTCCCAAATATTTTATTAGTTGTAAAATGATCCATGTCTTGATTTTATGAGTGTTTCTAACACAACTGTTGTGGATTCTTAGAGAAAAAAAAGTCCTGAAATTCATGTTGGAAGAGATGAGTAAATTTTTCAAAATAACCAACATTTTCTTCCCAAATACTTTTCCCTGTTTTTTTTTTTTTTTTTGGTGAAATTTTTTCCCTGTTTTTATTTATTAATTATAATGTACTTTTTGTATGCGCTGAATCAACTTTTCCTAGAATTATAACGTTATTCTAATAATAATTCATCCCATTCCAGTGTGTTGATTCCTGCTGTCTGATTTTTTTCTGTTTCAGTGTAATTTTATTCACCAGGTCATGTGATAATTTATTTTTGTATTGGTTATTCCAGTGATATGATGAATTAAATCCTGCAACTAAATTTTATACAAAAAAAAAAAAAATCCTGCAACAAAACAAATAATGCGATGTGTTCCCGCAGGTACGAAATCGATTTTATTGAAAAGATTGTTAAGGAGGTGTATGTTAAGGTAGGTCCTAAACCTTTACATATTGCCTAAGAGATCTAATGTAAATATCTCTTTACTGATGCTAAAGTCACCTTTACTGATCCAGACTGCATCATCTCTCTTGTCAAATGGTTCTGGTAATCGCAACATATCTTCCTCCACCAGCAATGAGCATGTGGCAAACATTTTGAGTCTGAATCAACTCAGTGGAAGCCTTGAGAAGTTGTTGAATGCTGAATATGATTATTGTGACGCTGAGATTCTTGTTGAAGGCATCCCTGTGGGTATTAATCGCGGAATATTGGCTTCTCGTAGTCAGTTTTTTCATGAGCTTTTTAAGAAAGGAAGTGATGGATCAGTGAAGGAAGGAAAACCAAGGTATCTCATGTCACATTTGGTGCCTTATGGAACAGTTGGATCTGAAGCTTTCCTCGTTTTCTTGCATTATTCGTATACCGGAAAGCAAAAGCCTTCACCACCAGAAGTTACAACATGTGTTGATGAAGCATGTAGCCATGATGCTTGCCGACCTGCTATCAATTATACTCTGGAACTAATGTATGCTTCTGCCACTTTTCAGATGAAAGAGCTGGTTTCGCTTGTCCAGGTATATTGTCTCATTTCTGGCTCTTTTTCCTTTGTTTTACTTTGATAATTTTTGTGTCAAAGAGGGAAAATGTGACAAATTCAGAGTAATAAACTAAAGTTCCACAAAATCACTTTGTGCTGAATAACACAATATTGTATGCTGAATTCAGTCTTTGCTTAAGAGATCTAATGTAAATATCTCTCTACTGATGCAGCGGCGTCTCCTAAATTTTGTTGAGAAGGCTCTTGTGGAAGATGTTATTCCTATTCTTATGGCTTCCTTTCACTGCCAACTAAGCCAGCTTCGCTCTCAATGCATTCAAAGAGTAGCAAGGTCTGACCTTGACAGCATATCTTTGGATAGAGAACTCCCTCATGAAATTGTGACTGAAATCAAGTCACTCCAAGTCCAATCTAAGCCAGAATCCACACCTGATGCAATGAAAGTAGAACCTTCAAATGTTGAGAGTATCAGGAAAATCCATAAAGCATTGGACTCTGATAATGTTGAGCTACTGAAGCTTCTTTTAAATGAGTCTAGTGTCACTCTAGATGATGCCTATGCTTTACACTATGCCTGTGCCTATAGTGATTCTAAGGTTGTTCAAGAGGTTCTTACTCTAGGCTTGGCTGATGTTAACCTTAGAAATCCCCGAGGATACACGGTTCTTCGTGTGGCTGCAAGACGAAAGGATCTATCCATTTTGGTAGCATTACTGAAAAAAGGGTCATGTGTATCAGATACCACCCCAGATGGACAAAATGCCCTTTCAATTTGTCAGAGGTTGACAAGACGGAAGGATTATCATGAGAAAATAGTGCAGGGGAAGGAATCTTGTGTTGATGTCCTGGAGAGAGAGATGAGAACAAATTCTATGTCTCTGAATATGTCTGTTTCGTCACAGTTAACTACTGATGATTTGCGCACGAGACTGGAAATCTATGAACTTAGAGGTAGAGAGCTTTTACTTTTCTAAGTTACTTTTTTTCAATGAATATGGAATTGGGACCTTTTAGTTGTCATAGGAATATGCATGAATCAGAATCACAACAAAACATTATTTATATGATGCTTTTAAATTTGGAAGCATACGGACCTGAAAGTAACAATCACTTCCTTTCATGTTGCAGTTGAAGCTGCCAAGGTATTGTTTCCTGCTGAGGCTAGGGTAGCCATTGAGAAAGCTGAGGCAGATTCAACATCACTGTATGTAAGCTCATCAGCTTTGAAGGGCCCAAGTGGCATTCGACAAGAAGAAGACCTAAATGAAACTCCCTCTGTTTATATCAGAATACTACAGTTAAGATTGCATGCCTTTGTAACAACAGGTATGTCCAAGAGAATTTTGAAATAGCCTCCTTATAATGGTTCTACGTCATTGGGGAATATGGATATGACTTTTTCTCTATTAACATCAAAGCAAGCTTGCATGTACATTGCCTTGGTTAGAACATACCAGAACTATGAAAATCTCATAATTAGGTAATGCCATCGTTTGGATTATTTTTTTCTCTGAAAGCCAACATTGCTTCTGTTGGGACGGGTCCCTCAAATAACGCGGAAGCAAAACGATGTAGACACTTCAAGCTTGGAGCTCGGCACTTCGAGGTCGGCTTTAAGTCACCAGGTCGGCCAAAATCGCTGAAGTTAAAAAAATGCAGAAATGAAAAAGGTAAAGAGAAACATAACAAGTTTTAACGTGAAAAAACGTAAAAACTACGGGATATTAGTCCAGAAAATCATCCACTGTGAAAATAGTAGAAGTATAAAGTCTTCAAATTTTCCTAATCACACTAGAGGTACGCTTAAACATCACCAAGAGCATGTTTGGATCCTCTTATTTTTAAGCTAAAGAGAGAAATTAAAAGCTGTTTAGAAATTACATAAAAATTTTAGCTTAAAAATTACTTAAAAGCACGTATTTAAAGAAAACTATCTCTCTCTATCTTTATCACTCTTCATTTTAAAAAAAGAGCACACAATTCAAGAAAAACATATAAGAGCTTAAAAAAAGCTCCTCCTAGGAGCTTTTAGTTTTCAGTTTTTTTCTTCGTGAGCTTTTTTTATAAGAGCTTTTTCCAAAACCTGTTTGGCCTAGCTTATGCTTATAAGTAGCTTCTAGCTTAAAAAAAAGGATCCAAACAGGCACCAAGAATGGTAATTACAAATTCTTCTCACACAAAACTTCTCGTTAGAGGATTCACTCACAAAATCTTAGCTAATCTGATACAAAGTTCTTCATGTGTTTATATAAGAGGTGAGGGGAACTCTATACCTACTTTTAAAATGTTCATCAATGATTAAGTGGCAGCATTTATTGAGATTATGCAGACATTGAGCCATTGCATACCCAACCACCAGCATTAAAGAAAGAAACCACCCCCAACAGCTTCCATTTATGTTTCAAATTTCAATATCACTTTATTGCAGTGGTAGCTAATATTTCACTATTACAAGATAAGAATAAGACAGCAAAGCCTGAGACAAGAAATAACTATGCCCCTTTCTCAGTACTATTTCCTCACATGTGCACCAATTTTTTAAGGTTGTTGCCCCAGGATTTGTGATTCTAAATATTTTAGCCTCAGTCCATTTCTTGTTGAAATTCATGAGACCCAATATTTAATAGTCATAAAATGCAATAAAGAAAGTTTTTATCACTTGTAGTACTTTGCAACGTAACAGATGGAAAAGAATGATGGTGGTTTCATGTTACTAAAACTCCTTGAGTATACATTTTGAATTGTCTGCAGTTGAGTATGGTTGGCGCTTGTTTCCCCATTGTTCTGAGGTGCTTGATAAGTTTCTGGACTGCGAGATGCCTGATGTTTACTTCCTAGAGAAGGGCACTGAAGAAGAGCAGAGAATCAAGAAAGCACGCTTCCTGGAACTTAAAGATGATGTGCAGAAGGCATTTAACAAGGATATGGCTGAAAATAACCATTCAGGTTTTTTATCTTCAGTGTCTTCCTCATCATCCTCATCTCGTAGGGATGGTCTTAGCCATAAAGTGAGGAAAAAATGAAGTCCATGTTCTTCTATAAGTGGTTGCTAAAAGTTTTGGCTTTTTCAAGTAGTGCAAATAGCAACTGTAGCATATATTGCTAATAACATGCTGTGTTACATTAGGAGTTTTGCAAATGAACATGGGACATTTTTACTAGATTGATGAACTTGCTTGCAATTTTTTACTAAGTATTCATGGGAAATGAACCATTCCCCAAAGACCAAAAGTATTCATGGTTTGATTCCTTCTCATGTTGAGTATGCCGATTTTTTACTATGTATTCACGAAATCAACATAAGATACAATATTTGTTTCATTTGCGAGGAACAATACCGTGTTTTAATAAATTTTTATTTTTTTTCTCCAAGTAAAATTTAACAAGCAACCGAAGGTTTTATGTGGGTTTGTTTTGCTAAAATCAACCAAAAATGAACATATGGTGAAATTTAGCATTTATAGATAAAATTACAAGTCAAATAAAATGATAATTGTGGTGTGACACTTCAATCCACCAAATAAAAAGAAAAGGTGAAATTTAGAGAGAGAAAAAAGGTTAACTTTTCGACAAGAACACGAATCAGACATAAAGCCATTTCCAAATTAGATCATATGACATTATTATTATTGAAAATCATAATCATACGAAGGTGGATCAATAATAATAAAAGAAGATAGAAAAAATATTGAAATAAGTAATTACAAAATCATAAACATTGATCCATTTTTGCATGGTTGTGATTTTCTAACATGCCATTTTTTTTTTTAATGAAAGGATCCATTTCTAATCCTATTTGTCCAATAACAGAATCAAGCACAACTAATTACGGGTTTCTCCAGCAGATACTTAAAAAAGGTGAAAAGGGAAGAGTCCGTCACCTTTATTGCTCTTGGAGAAAAAAATGCTAATGGAGACATACTCTTTAAAAATTATAGATGAACTGAACTATTCAGATCAATTATGTATATACTGTAAGAAATTTTCATATAATAATTCAACATAAATATCGATACATGTACGATAGATAAAACACCACATATCAATTTTTATTCTGAGAGGAGTCTGTGTATCAATCTATTGGGCCATCTTATCTACTGAGCGAAGAACCTTGATCTAAAGGTTAGAATCTTCCTCTCTCTATAACCTATTCCAAAAGTGACAGCATTAGCAATGAGAGCATAACGGCTCATGAGACTTAATCCCAATATTAATAGGCTAGAGAGGGAACCTAATCAAATACTCTGAAAAGAGTTTGTGTCCACTGGGTCCACCCATCACAGAAAATCAGGGTCACACTAAAGCCTACACTGATGCCCAACTAGGCCCAATACCAACAGATGCCAAAAGCCCAACTCAACATGATCACAACGAACTTATCAAAATAATACAATGGAATATTCATTAACTCGATTTATTTTAAAACAGAAAACCAATTAATTAATATTGCTCATATAAAGGAAAATTCTAACATTCTCCCACTTGGGCTATATTAATTAATTTAATATTATTTTGAAAATAATTTTATTTTGAAGACGACTCTATCGGGTTAATAACTAAAAAATCAATTTACGTGGTCACGATTTTGAAAAACAATATTCCAATCTCAATACCAGCATCTCAACACAATTCAATCCAACATAACCCTATCATAGGAACATGATGATCAATATACCGAAAATATCATAGCATATGACCTTCCATACTCACATACAATGAGTATTACATCTTCATGATTCAAGGCCTAGTAGTGTAGTAAGAATTAATGTCAAAATGTAATCAACAATATAACACACTAATTCTTATCGATCCTCAATGTAATTTCTCAACAACATGAAATTACATTAGTGCAATTTCCAATCAACATGAAATTACACTTCATAATGCAATTTCTCAACAACATGAAATTGCATTACCGCAATTTCTAAACAACATGAAATTGTCTTTTTCAATCCAATTTCTTAACAACATGAAATTGAATTAACCCATTTTCCAAACGACATGAAATTGCTTAGTTTAAATAAATCAACATGTCACAATACAACATGAGATCTCAAAATTTGTGACATCCAATTATCTTTAAGCTCACAACATGCTTAAAGATACCATTCATACATATATTTCTCAGTCGACAGGAGAAATAACAATAATGATGATCATCAATTATTAACATTCAAACAAAAGTCACAAAAATATCATCAGTTTGCATGACCAAAAAAGCAAACTGAACATAACTCCCACAGATCAAGGGAATCAAAACAATTTAAAGTACTTAAAAGAAAACCTCGAATACAACTCCCACTAATTAAGGGAATCAAAAGAATTTAAAGTACTCCTATATACAAAGGAGGCTACATCAAGATATTTCCTACAAAAGCTTTTAGATAAAAAGTTTTTATTTCATTCAGTAAATCATCATCTTACTGAAAAATAAAATGTCATCTACATAAAGTACTAAGAATATACATCTACTCCCGCTTACTTTCATGTAAATGCACTTGTCAAATATATTTAAATTAATTCAAACGAATTAACAAAAATTCAATTTTAAGGCAAAACAAATGCATCAGGATAAACTATAGGGAAATATATAGCGTTAATCAAAGCAAGTTATTACAACGAGGACAACAAAACAGTATATTCTCCTTTGGGCAAAATGCACATACCAAGGTTTAAACCAAGATATAAGCCTCTAATGAATCAATCAATGAGCATACACTGGTTTTAAAGATCTGTCCCTTTTGGGCAGACAGATCACCTAGATCAATGCACCCCTAATAATTGTATTACAAACAAACTTCTAATTAAAACACATAATAACCCTCTTTGGGCAAGAAATTGCATGAAATAACCAAAAGCATTCCTCAAATTTACAAAAAATTTACATGAAAAAAAATTATTCCACTTTAGTGGTAATACTAATAGTAATTCGTAGAAACACTTACAAATCTTGCCCAAAATCATGATGCATTCCACAAGAAGATTAACACCTTCACTAATCATGAGTTCAAAAACCAATAGCATTCTTAAAAAGGTTTTACAATCAAGCGGAAGCATATAACTCAATAAATAAAATATTCTATAAATTATACATCTCAATTTCTTATAACTTGACATAGTAAATAACTCAACAATAGCATGTTGTTGTTGATGGCAAAAATAAATGATTGACATACACAATGCAATAAGATAAAATTTGGGCAACAACAAAATAATTTATATATCATAAACCCCCTTTGGGCAGGGAATATAATATACAAATATTTTCTATCACATGAAGATTTGAACAACAACAAAAATTACATGCAATTACAAAAATTCATCCCATTTGGGCAGACAAAATTTTTAAATTATACATATATTTCCATAATACAACATGTAATTTAAAAATAATTTATCCCCTTTGGGCAGATAAATACTTTTAAATCACGTAATCTCATCAATAATTTCTTCATGCAATTTCCTAAATTATTATATGTAACAACCCCCTTTGGGCAGGTAATTAACATATAATAATTCAAAATAATATATCCCAACAACATGTGTTTCCAAAACATGAAACACTTAACAATGTGTATCCAACAACATGAAACACTTAACAACACGTGTTTCCAACAACATTAAACACTTAACAACATGTGTTTCCAACAACATGAAACACTTCACAACATGTGTTTCTAGATTGTCAATCCAACAAATTTTGCCATAAAAATTCAGCACTTAACATTAAAGCCATTACTAACTATTCTTAAGTAATAGAAAATTATATATAATTGCCTAAAATTTATCCCCTTTGGGCAAATAAATTTTATAAATTATTTATGTTCATAATATCAACATAAAAGCATTATATGCAATTTTCAAAAATTTATCCCACAAGCATTTTTATTATATTTGCATGATGAATTACAACTAATGTCATACCCTTTATGTGATCCAAAGACTCTTAATATATAATTGAAATAATTAAGGGTGCTGAGACTAAACCTTAATTAAATGAAATTATATGGATCACTTGACATTAGTTTCCAAACCCAAATTATTGCTTCGAACCATAGGCAATAATATCAAAATACTCAAATTATTCATCCCAACATTGTATGTATAGGAAAACTTTAATTAATACATACAATCAAATCATTATACTACATGACATAAAAACTTGTCTAATAATTCACAAGGTGCGTAAATATTAATCTTCAGTCATGGGTTCATAATCCGTTATACCCATTTACTTTCCTTTTGTCACATGCAATTAATGTCAAATTATACAGCAGCTTACTCTCTTTTAATGTCAAATGTAGTAAATATTAATTTTTATGGGGAAAGATTCGTTTACAAACTTTTTTTGAAAATTTTTACAAATTACATTATCTTCTCCAGGGAGAACATAGTGCAACCAATGTTCTTCGGGGAGAAGATAGTGTAGTTTGTAAGAGTTTGTAAACAAAAAAATTTGTAAATATAACCTGCTCCAATTTTTATATGTTAAGCTACAATCAAAAAAACTCAATGATTAATTGCATTTATTCTATTGTCAATCATAAGTCACGATGCAATACACAACAATCAATGAGACTAAAAACATGGCAACAACATTTTTGTAGTGCCAAAAACCAATGACGACGAACTAGTCATAAATGTGCCAATTAAAATATTGAAGAACCATGTAGCCAGATGAAATATGAAACCAATTTCACTAAATCCGAAATGTGAAAACTCACTAAAATGTCCCAAAAACAAAAGTTTATTAATTATGAGACATACCCATGTGAACCTCTTTCACAAAACTATGCAAAAGTCCAAACGATTTTCACTTATTTCACTAAAATTAAAACCAAATGTTCAATAATTTACAGGCCCAAATCATATGTGAAATCTAAAGTACGAAGAATAACATGTCAACCAAAATGAATATTGACACTTTAATGATTAAAGTCCAATAGCAATGGCAGTAGCCAACTTATTGTAATATAAAAATAGAATATCTAAGGGCATGGCTTTAGAACTTTAAGCTCCCATATACAAAATATTAGCAATTAATGCGTGAGCGATATAACTATACAAAGAC